TCCAGTGGTTCCTTGGCCCCGTTTGGTTTTAGTTTAGGGTTTCGGGTTTAGGGTTTGGGGTTTAGGGTTTAAGGGTTTAGGGTTTCGGGTTTAGGGTTTAGGATTCGGAACTCCAGGGGAGTTCTTTTGAGGGTTGGGACCCGTTCTTGATGGGACGATGAAGAGAGCTTAAGTAGAAGTTTCCGACTACTAAAACACGAAGCGCCTAGCCTGGGGTATGCATGTGTATGTCTAAGTTTAACCTGTGTCACATATATCTTTTGTGTATATGTATATATAGAAGCATATGTGCATAGACATATATACATGTATACATTCTTTTGGGTTATCTCTCTTGTTTAGTCATATATATGTATATATATATATATCTCTCTCTCTCTCTCTCTCTCTCTCGCTCTCTCTTTCCCTTGAGATTCCGCCCAAAGAACGACCCCTAGGGAAGTCTGCGGCGCCATCGCCTACGAGGAGCGCGTTGATGCGCGTCGCTTGGGAAACCTTAAACCCCGCCCTGAAGTTCGGGTTTGGGGGTTTAGGGGATTAGGGTTTTAGGGGTTCGGGGAGTTGGTGGTTAGGGGTTTGGGGGTGGTTTAGGGTTTACTGGGGGAGGGGAAAAGGCCATGGGGCTTTAGGATTAAAGGTGTTTGGGTTTAGGGTAACAGGGTTCAGGGTTTCCGCCACACGGTAGTAAGCGGCGTTTGAGAGCTACTTCTGCCAAAGGCAATGGGTCAGTCCGAAAACCTTTGTCTTCAGTTGTGCCGTTCACCAGAGAAGGCGTCCGTCCACACCTGTACGAGAAGCCGCCCATATGCGCCCACATGGATTTCTGGTAGCTGTTTGCGTGAAGAGACCGAAATCCAGAGCGAGGGCATTTAGCTGGGAAAAGGCATGTAGTTGGGAAAGGGGATAACCTTCAAGCTCCCTCACGGACGTGGAGCCGGGCGGGTCGGCAGAATTTCCAGCGAGGTCTTCCCAAACTTCTTCTAAAAATCAGAGAGCTTCACACATGTCACCCCGCGCCCCCGTGGTTTCCCACTTGGATCCCTTCAGGACTTTTGGCTAGAGAGCTGCTTGCGCCGCGCGGGCGCGGCAGTCGGGAACCCGGACCTTGGAACCCGGCTTTCAGCAGGGGTTCGGACTGTGAGCGGAGCAGTAAACTCGAAATTCCTTCGAAAGGTTTGGCAGACTTTGGGGTCTCAGGATGTCTCAACCACTATTTGCTTAAGAACCCCCCCCCCAAAAAAAATTAAAGAAAATCACCCCTATGTTACCCTGTTTGGGCGGGTCTTAAGTAAATAGTAGTCAAGTTGGGACTCCCTTACTTCAGCCTCATGCTTGGGCGATTTGCGACATCCGGCAACCCGAAAAGATGTAGCTAAAAAGAGCCCATCGCGGTTGTAGGTGGAGTAATGCGCTGACTCAACTCCAATCAACATCAGCAACAGCGCATTGTTGACCATTCCATGAGACAATCAACCAGAGATCCGCAAACTCCCATATCCTGGAAGCACAACGAGGCAGTGCCTTCATGGCCCCGTCTCCTCCACGAGAAGGTGGGATCGGGGGTAAGAGGGGTTAAGACAGGAAATCATGTGATCATCAGTGTGTTCCCGTTTAAATTGGAGAACAGTTTTGTCTAGTCAGCAGTTATAGACATGATGGGAATAAGTAGGGTAAACATACACCAAGAGCACTCAGAGCGCTCCAGACAACACTTCCACATGCGCTCGAAAAGCATCCCTCAAGAGAACTCCAAGAGCATTCTCTGAGCTCACCAAGAGCACTGAAGTACTACACTTCATGGGGACATGAAAGAGCGACTTGGAGCCACCGGTGTTCCAGACGAACCTCCGCGCTACCCGGACGTCCAAAAGCGACGACAGTTGCGAGGATGCGTATAGGCGGGATTTCCAATACCCTGAAATGCAAAGACGTCCAAAAGCGACGAAGTTAGTGTTCAATTCGCACATACACGTCGCTAAACTTCTTTGAAGAACAACCTGAAAATAGCAGCCAATTTCCATTTGCTTGGAGCCCACGCGCACATTCCAGCATCGTTTGCCTGTAAAGTACTGCAGCAAGGGCTTAGGTATGTTTACGGTTTAGGCTGTTACTACCATTTGCTTAAGAACCCCAAAAAATAAGACTTATAAGGGCAATACAATACAATATTTTGTTTGGGGGTTCTTAAGCATATAGTAGTTGAGGGCTCCGCCACGGCAAGTGAGGCTACGGCATGCACGGTGCGGCATCCATCTTCCCGAAGCCTTACAAACCAACATTACAGCATGCTTGGTGCACTGTGAGAAACGAGCGGAAAGGTGCAAGTTACCGCATCCAGCGTTCAAAAAAAAACGCGGTAGGTTTGCATGTTTTTTTTGCTAGACGGGATGAACCACTGGGATGCGATGTTCTAGACATCCTGTTTGCAGAGGGGGTCGGGGGAGGGTGCTTCGGGACTCAGTCCAGCCCACTCCTCTCAGCAACCACCGTTATATAAAAGGTGAGACCCGCATCCGAACACAAGATTTGCGGCTAGCAGAGGAGATCAATGCTAAGCCTGCGTACTTTCCCTCAACCCTATAACCCTACTGTAACCCCTAGATGTCCCTTAAACCCCTATAACCCTAACATCCCCAAGCAAAGACCGAGACAAATCAACGCTTGCGCAGGGCTGCCGACCACGCCTCGCGGGCCCCTGCGGATCGGCCAACGTGGCCTTCCATCCAAAGAAGCCGCGCACCCGGGGGCGGGGGGGGGGGGGGGCTCAGGGCAACTTAGGGTGGGGTCGTTGGGTCTTGGGTCGTAGGGTCTTTGGGTCTTAGGGTCTTAGGGGCCAGGGTTCGGGTTTAGGGTTTAGGGTTTAGGGCTTCGGGGTTAAGCTATCCTGGGGGCCCTGGCTGCCTGCACAGCAAGCCACGCATGCCCGAAATCCGGGAAGATTCCCTAAACCGGGGAGGAGTCGTGAAGCCTCAGGTGAGAAATGTCTACACAGGAATCAAACATTCTAAACCTCTGCCCTGCGAGACACGAACTCGTAGAAGTGCCTAAACCGAGCCTTCTGAGATCAAAATCCAACCATCCTGTAGCCCAAGCAAGCCCGAGATGGTGCCATCCCAGATGAGTTGGGGTTGCGAGCAGGAGGAGTCGACTCCGATGCCTGTGATGTGGTACGTGCTCCCCGCGGAGGCGCAGATGTCTGCCTACCCCGTGCAGGGCAGCATGGGCTTCTACTCTCCGACTGCACCAGGGACCCAGGGCCCAGTGACCCAGGGGTCGATGACCCAGGGGTGGCAGGCGCCAATGCAGCAGCTGCCCCAGATGCTGCCGTTGCAGCCCGTGCAGGCAGCGCAGGTGCAGTCCCCATCACCCATGCCGATGCACTCGGCGCCACAGATGGCATTCTCAGCTTCGGAAGTTCCGATGGATGGGCAGTACGTACGCATGCCCGAGCAGTGCTGCGTGCCACGAGTCTCCGCCTCCGCGGCGGAGGTGTCCACAGCCCCATCGGAGGCGTCCTGCGACGAGGCTGACGACCTGACCGCCACGACCATGAAGTCCATGTCCGCCTCTGCGGCCCGGCGCCTGCGCCGCAAGCGCGCCGCAGAGCGCAAGGCGAGGGCCGGCGCGGAAGACCTGGCCCAGCATGTGGACGTCTCAGGCCTTTCCCTGCGGGAGCTGCGCCCCCAGCTTGAGCAGGCGAGCGAGCTGGACCAGCTGAGAGGCCACGTCTGGGCTCTATCCCAGGACAAGAAGGGCTGTCGTGTGGTCCAAAAAGCCTTGGAGGTCGCAGGCCGCGAGACCGCCGCCATTGCAGGCGAGCTTTCCGGACACGTCTTGGATGCCATCAAGCACCCGGAAGCGAACTACGTGGTCCAAAAGGCCATCACGCAGCTCTCCGTGGGCGGCTCGAGTTTCATCGTGGAGGAGATCCAGGGTTCGGCGGTGGCCGTGGCAAAAAACCGGATGGGGTGCCGGATCTTTTGCCGTCTTTTGGAGTTCTGCAGCACGAACCCCAAGCTGGGCCACCTCGTGGACGAGCTGCTGATGGATGTGTCGGACTTGTGCTGTCACGCCTTCGCGCACCATGTCATCCAGTCCATCCTGGAGCATGGCGAGGAACGGCACATCCACATCATCGCCCAAACTCTGACTGCGGACGTCGTGAGGTTCGCACAGCACAAGAACACCAGCTACCTGATCGAGAAGGTGATGACCCTCTGCAGTTGTACCGAGCAGGACCAGGGAGCCATGATCCTCGCCTTAAACTTCCAGCGCCTGCTCTTCTTGGCCAAGACCCAGTATGGCCGCCACGTCGCCAAGACGATGCTGAAGGACCCACGCTGGTACGCCGTCTGGGCTGCAGAGGAGTTCGAGAGGCTCATCTTCCCCTTCAGAGCTGGGCTGGAGGCCGACCGTTTTGGCAGCCTGTTTCTCAAGGACATGGCACAGCCCACGCATGATTGAGCCAGTGTGCTGTGTTCCTCTGGAATTCACGTCGATGCAACCCAGCGAGGGAATGGGCCCCACCTACACTTGTCGGTGGTTTTTGGCTCCAGCATGTGATAGCTCATGCGCATTGTACACTGATCAGTCCCACTCCAACCCAAACCCTCTTCAATGCTTACCCTAAACCCTGAGCCCAGCGAGCTCCTGTGGCAGAAAAAATGCTTCTGTGACAAACCAGGAGGTTTAAGCGACCCTGTTCCGGGTCAGTCTCACGGCGGCCATTGTACAGTCCGGCTCACGGGACACAATCCATGCTCTAGCAGGTAGCCGGTTTAAAAAGCTTACTGTTTGCAGTAGGGCTTAGGGTTCAGGGTTGAGGTTCACTTCACCTTTGCTGCGGTCTTGTCCCGCTGGCTGCAAAGCCATGTACAGAACCCGTCGCCGCGGTAGGAAAAAATCATGTGACGCGGCACTGCTGGCGGTGAAGCTTGAAGTTGCCGTTGTGGGAAAGCGTGATGGGTGTATATTCTTAAACTTACCGATCCTGCTGTAGACCGTCACGGAGATAGCTAGTAGCTAGTGTACTACCACCTCGTCGTTAACGTGACCATTGAGTCATGTTTGGCCACTCGTGGGACGCTGAATACAGGTGTCAGACGTTGGGTGTATATTGTTACTGAGTCTGCTTGAGCAAGTGGCGTCCCTCCGCTTCAACGTGTAGTAGCAGCTAGCATGCTGTCTTTGGACTCGAGAACCCTGGATCCTTGCGTGCGCGTGCGCTAGTTGTGAGAGTCGAAAAACTCTAACCCCAAACTCCAAGCCCCTAACCCCAAACCCAACAAATAAAACACCTAAACCCTAAACTTTTCCTGAAAAATCCCCTTGTCCGAGTTGGCAGGTCCCCAGAGGAGTGGTGGGAGTGCCTTTCTCAGGCGGAAGCTTTCCCGCTCGCAGGCGCCAGCGGTTTTTTTTTGCTTTGTAGGCTTTGGGGTTGGGAGTTTCGAGCACGGGACGTTGGCCGGACGCAAGTAGTCTGGTATCTCGGAATGGGGGTTTACGAAAAAAGGGGACCCTTAAAATAGACCCCCAAATAGGGTCCTATTCCTGCATAATAAGGATCCCAAAAAGGTACCCCTACTTTCGGAAGAGCCCAAACGGAGAGGAGGTTGGTCCGGCGCGTTCCCTTCCAGGTTGGATTGACCACCACGAAGTCAACTGCGTTGCAGGCCAGGTCAGCAGCTACTTGCTGCTTGGAGGTTCCGAAAATCGGGGTACCCCTGTTATTGGTCCCTTTTAAGAGGACTCTATTCTGTTTGCGGGAAAATCGGGATGCCCCTATTTTGGGAAATACTCACATGGGTATCTGTTAGAAAAAGTAGGGCGATAAGTAGGGCAATGACAATTTTACCCATGAGTCTACCAAGTAGCTTGGCTTCATCCTGCGTGCGCTCCTGGCATTGGTCCAGTTCACCCGACATCAACGCCCAGCACTCTAGGACAGTTGCAGATATGAGGGAGGGGGTTCCCTTCTATTCTGTTTAGAGCCCTAAACCCGAAACCCTAAACCCTAAACCCTAAACCCCCAAGAGCAGAAGCTTGTCAGGGCAGGGCGCAACACCGATCCCGGGTGTGCCAGAGCCGTTTCACAGCCACTCGGCTTTGAGCTTCGCTGGGCGGCCTTCATGCCAGGGGCATGCCGGCATGCCCTTGTTACATTGTTGGTTTTAAGGGGATGAGAAGGGGGCCCCAACCCTGAAAAAAAGAAATAAGGGCCTACTCCGGGTCCTAGTTTCTGGGGCTTTGATATACTTACCAGACGCGGATTCTCATGGGTCCGCGCTGCTCAAAAAGGAGCTCCCTGGGAAGGCGCACGCGGACCAAAGCAGACCCTTCGGCCGGCAAATCGTAATCAACCCTAAATTCCCAGCATCAGTCTCGTGCCATCTGTCAGAGTGTCGAGGTGTTCCCGAAATCCGTGAGTCTTTGCCTTCACTGCCCACTGCCTCTTGTGCAGGCCCTGTTTTTGGGGCCCAACGAAGAAGTAGGCTGTTAAGGGGTTGGGTTTTGGGTTTCGGTTTAGGGCTTAGACCCGAGAACCTTAGGGGTTACCTTGGCTCTTCTTCCGAGGAGGCTTCCATCCCCTGGACTGCCTGCGAGCCTGCGAGGAGATCGCGGCCTGCCAGGCACACTGGCGACAAGGGCTTTGGCCGGTCTTTGTATTGGGGGTTTGGGGTTGGGGGGAGGGGGTTAGCCTAAGAAGAAAGGAGCCCCAAAGCGACCCCTAAAACAGGAGCCACAAGTTCCACCGTTGACCTCTGACGAGACTATTGTTTAGTTGTAGCACAGGCCACCCGAAATCAACACGCATTGGAAATAGATGGGCAACTGATGTCAAATTCCAGATCCCGAGCCCACCCACGATCCTATGTTGATCATGTCTCAGGCTGCTATTCTTCTCGAGAGTTATGACCCAAGCCCCTGCTATTTGCGCACACAGGCGCAGGGGGTACGGGGGGATGGGATGGGCGGGGATTGAAGGGGCGTTTCGTGGTGCGAATGCTTTCGGTGGATGTGTGCAGCTTCGCCCGCTTGGAAAAGCATCCCGTGTAGAAGTTGCGGACTGGGCCCGGAGATGTGCCTAGCGGCGCTCCTGACAGGTTGACGTCAGCAAGTGCTTCGCAGCACCTGGCTACAGCCTTTGGGTGAAGCCGGGGGCCTTGACTACCAGCACCGTCCCCACAACCGCCCCCACCACCACCGCAAAGGCAACCAGCAAGCCGGTGACCAGCACAACCACCACAGCTGCCACAGCAGCAGCTCCAAAGACCACCAAGGCAACTGCAGCAACCGCGACCACCTCTGCAACCTCCACCAACACCACGGCCATCCTATCCCCTTTGCCCCCTTTGCCACGGCTGCCCCCCGCCACGGCGCATGCGTGAGGCTCGAGACCTTCAATATCTTCAATTCAGATTCAGCACTGCGATCGAAGCAAGAGACCGCTCAGCCTCCCATTGCTATGCTGTAAGCATGAGTTACTCAGAGCAGTAGTCTTATTTATTCAGATGATCTACAGAATTAGCTGGCTAATTTGCAAGAACGCTGCATTTTCCGTGGGTCAAGTGAGTCCAGGCGTGCGCCGCCATTTTTGGGGTGTGCCCCGTGCCGCCGCGCCCCTGCAGTTGAGACGAGAGCCACTTCGGCCTCCAGACGCAAGGAGCGCATGCGCTGCCTCCCTCGACACCCCCCCCCCCCTGGCTGCTAGAGATGCTGGTTCCTAAGTTCCTCTTTGACCGGAGGCCCTCCCACAATTTCCGTTTCCATTCTTGGGTTCAAGAGGATCACATGTTAGGGACTAGCCCCTCGGGCCCCCTCGGTCTCGAGCACAAGCCCACCTCCCACGCCTGAAGGAGTGGCGGCCGCACATCCCCTCTCAGGAAGGGGGCCTCTTGGCTGCACCCGAACATTGATTGAACCCGGAAGCTACAAGCTACAAGCTTTGGGGAAGGGGGGCTGGGGGGGGGGGGGGGGGACTTTCCATTGCTCCTCTGGACTTTGCTGAGGCTGGGCGCAAAGCAGACTTTTCAACGCATTTTCCAACGTACCCTTGTTCCTTCCAGAACCTACTTGAACCTACTTGTCCAAGTGTTCCTCGAAAGTTCCTGTTAAGGATTCATACAAGGATACTGCAAAAAGTAGGTCTGGAAGGTCAAGATAGCTTCTTGCTGGGACAGACCGCAGCTGGCCGCAAAACCCGACATTTCTACCGAAGGCAACAGGCCTTCACGACAGCCAGCCGGTTTAGATTTCATGGTTCATGGTTTAGGGGTTTAGGGTTTAGGTTTGATGTGTTTGCGCGTTATCTTTCAGGCAGCTGCCTTCGAAAAAGCCGGTAGTGTAGAGCCGCGGAGTGCGCATCACGCCAAGGCCGTGGGGGGGCTGGTTTCCATACGAAGTACATCCAAGTTCCAAAAGGGCCGAGAACCCCAAGGGCCAAGAAGGGCTTCCGCAGTTTCTATGGTGGTACCCTAGGCTTTTGAAAGACGGGAGATTCCCCGAGACATGCTTGAACTGGTGCTAAAGCCGACGAGAACGCCCAAAACCCTGGTCAAGATGCCACCCTGCAAGCGCTGGAACTCCTCTCCATCAGGATGGGCTACTATGCCCTGTCGCCCCTTAAAGCGGCCCCTTATCGGGTTCATTTTGGGGATTCGGAGGCCTGATCGCCCATCCTGGCAAGCGAGTCCTGCAGGATGGCGCTTTCGGTATCAGGAGTGGTTTTGGCAACGGGATCACCGTCATGCAACAGTGCTACGCCCAGAGAAGCGCCAAGCATGAGAAGCAGGAGTTCCCTCAATTGAGTTCATTCGATTTCCCTAGCTGCTTAGAGCGTGAGCTGTGGGCCATGAAACGCCAGCCGCCTGCAACTTGTGGCTTTTGGTGTCGGCTTTTGGTGGCCTCGAAGACAAGGGTTGAGGGCTTCGGCTCCAAATCAGAGCAGATCTACTTTTTCTCTAAATGATGGTCCGCTTAAGTATCACATTATGATACGGAGCCTTATCTGAAGGGCATCTGAAAAGGGGGGCGCAACACAGAGAACACCCAGGAATCGTCCAAATAAGCGATTTCAGGGAGGTGGGACGGACATGTAGGATTTGCTTGGCTGGGAATGAAGTACTTCAGGGGGGTTCGAAAGGAACATACCTATAACTGTCCGTGATCCAAAGCAGGCTCTGGATGGAGTGCCGGCCTCAACCTGCATCATTCTCCTGCTTCTAGACTAGACGAGACCCCGTCCAAGACGGCATGACCGTAGTTAACTAGGCAGACTCCGACAAGCTCGCAGAAAAAGGAGCAACCCAGGCCACTTCCTCGCAGGTGCAGAGCCAGGAGAAAGCCAACCCTCCGACCTCACAACCCTGGCCCGGAAGATTGAAAATCTTCCACTGCGTTTTCTTTGAGCGGATGGACCCTGACAAGTTCGTGAGGCTTGGGAAGTGAAGTCTCGTGGCAATGGCGCAAAGCTTGGTAGGTTTTCTGCTGTTGGAACTGCAAGGTCTCTTTGTGCTGAGCTGTTTCGAATCAAGGCCCGTGGCGGCCAGCATAACCGCACGATGGGACCCGAAACTCATCCTCGGGGCATGCGAAGCCCCGTCCAAACCCAGACTACCGCAGATCCGGATCCCCATCCAGCAGAAAAAAAGTTGCGCCGAGGCCTCCTACGCACGAACCCTCAAGTCGACCATCCTCCGGGCCCCCTCAGCAACCCGACGATGGCCCGAAAGTCATGCAACCTTTCCGGCACCTTAACAAAGGACCCCCAATACTTGCCTGCGAGCCCATCAGATCACAAAGCGTCTTTTGGATCAGCGCCATGGCGCCTTGCGACCATGCAGCGCCCGCGGATCTGGAGAGAGAGGAGCTGCTCTCTGGAGGCGTGGACCAGACGCGGTTTAGGGTTTAGGGTTTAGGGTTTAGGGCCAGAGGTTCTGGAGGAGCCCCAAAGGCCCTAAGCCGTCGATCTCGCCCTGATATTCTCGAGATGCCGTGCGCCCTCGTTGCAACTCTGCAAACCACCCCCCCCCCCCCCCCCAAGGCTCTAGAAGGCAGCGGCCAAGTTGGATAAAAATCTCAGGTTCCTGGGCCTTTTTCGGCAGCACTGATGTAATCTGATGGCCCTCAGTTTAGTCCAGAGTCCGCTTAACCCTGGCCCTGAACCCTAAACCCAAACCCTACACCTTAAACCCGGAACCCTGAACCCGAAGCCCGAAGCCCTAAACCTCCTTTCTCTCCAGGCCCCTCTCCGAAGCCGCGCCCCGCCCGGTGCCGCGTTCTGGCGGGTGCCGCCGCCGTGCCGCCTGGCATGGGAAAGCTCACTTGGGTTGCGGGCCAAGTTCTGGGGTTTGGGGTTTAGGGGTACTGAGATGGACCCGAAAGAAGGTTCTACAAGCAATCATGACAATGAATTGCGCTGCTTAACACCCATGAATCCAAGTAGGATTTGGGGTTTGGGGGTTTTGTGAGCTGATTCTGGCAGGGGGGTCTTGTGGGGGGGATGTGGGTGTTGCCCGAAACAAGGGTGTCCCCTTTCATCTGCCCCAGTGTACTTAAATCCTTAGTACACAGCAAACCCCCCAACCCCCCCCCCCCAAAAAAAAAAAGAATATATATATATATATATAAATACATAACTCATCTGTATTCTGGAAAACCCACGTCCAAAGCCCACCTTGGGTTTTTGAGGCTGGCGTTGGTGGCCATGGCCTTCTGGCACTCGTCGCCCAGTGGGGAAGAGACCCACGGCCTGGCAGGCAGGGTTTCAGCAGGGTTTCAGTGGTTTAGGCCTCTTTTGGCTGAACATGGTGGTCTCCCCTGACAGGACACTGAGTGCGAGTGAGAGTGAGGGAGGAGAGGGAGTGAGAGAGGCGCCTCTTGTGGCTGCTCTTCCGGTTCACTTTCGATTGAGGGTGTGCTGCTTGGGGTTGTTTCCATTGCACCCAGTGCCTGAAGGACTCGTGCAAGAGTTCCAGCTCCTGGATGCCTGGCAGATGCTGTCAGGAGAGAGGGGGCTCCTGACACCTTCAATGGTGCCTTAGAGTTGTGTGCTCCCTCTTCTCAAGAAGCACAAGAATGCCCCCAACTCCCTGCTACCCTGCAAGGCAGAAACCCTTTCAACTACGTCTGCCCTATGACGGTCTTCCAGCGCATGGCTGCCATTGCACTCGTGGGGAAGGCGCCGCTGGTTGCGGAGCTCGCCTCGGGGTTTCTAAATGAGGGTTCTATTGGTGGAACCTTCGTAATCGAGCCCCTCATGGAACAAAAGGTCCCCGAACAAGTGGACCAAGCTGGCTCGGGGTCGTCTTGGGATGCTTGGAGAGGACACATCTCGCGACACCGCGCTGGTCCATGAATTCCTGCCTCACCCCCCCCCCCCCCCACGCTTCTGATGTCAAGTTTCCCATGATAGTTAATATACTTGTGCATCAGGGGGAATGTCATAAGGGGGTACGACAAACCTCGTTTCCTGTGGCAGCATGGATCCTAAACGTCGAAGCTCAAAACAGTTCATCCTGAGGTGTAGAGGCCCTTGAAACCAAGTAACCCAACCTCTAAAGCATCGCCATAACGAACCCCCACAGATGAAGATGAAAGTTAAAGAAGTCACGAAGAAGCCGAAGCTGCAACCAGTAGTTCTTGGGAGGCCGCCGAAGGCGATTGCTGCACCACGTACAATGCGGTGCCGATGTGCTTTGGAATGAACTTCTCAAGAAGTTCGGAGAGTTGCTTTGCCAGGCTTTTGTGCAGCTAAACGCGCCTGAGCTCCAGGGTCTATCAGTGTACCTTTCCCCAAGGGCGCCAGGGGTTTGGATTCATGAAATCGAGGGGTGCAGGCTGTCGCCTGCTACGTCATCAGATCTGACCGTGCAACCGCGGCGTCAACCGCGGTTCTTGCGGCAAATGTGCCAAAGCATTCCACAAGTCCAACACATCCTTTCCGACAGCGGTGCGGAATCTGAAGGATTTGGCCGTACCAGTACCCGGAGTGCGGGAAGTCGCACTGCCCTTCCTGCTGCTGGGCTCAGGTCGTCTAAAGAGTGGACTGAGATTCTTGATGTGGCACTTGCCACAGAGGGTGGGAGGTTGGAGTTCAAGAGGCTTCAAGCGTGCGGAACTAGCCATGTGCCTTTCGGAGGAGAGGCGAAGACATTCAAAAACCCTGCAGCTGGCTGCATTTTGCCAAGCCGAGGCTGGCGCGCCGACGGCCACCTGACACTCGGCGGTTGGGGTATGGGGGTTTCCGACAATAGGTGTAGTCTTTTTGGCGGGGTCCCTTTTCAGGGGATTCTATTCCATTTTGGGGGCTAGAAAAAGGGGTGCCCCTATTTTGGGAAACCCATGTATGAAGCGCATGAGGTGACCAGTAGACTAGCGGAGAGTGACTGAGCCGATGGGCAAATCAAATGACGGAGAATACCTGGAGGAGAAACAGCAGCACGGCATCTGCCAAATCCTTCCTTCTAGACCTTCCAAACGAGGCCCAAAGCTTCGGAATTCCAGACGCTTGAAACCCTGAGCCCCCTAACTTTTGCTTGCTGGACGTAGATCGGACGCCCGACGTGCGCAAAATGTGAGAGTTACAAACTTCCTAGAAACTTCCCAGGGCCTCCTCCGACGTCAGCAGCTTCGCTGCCTTGGGCTTCGCTGCCTCACTGGCGGTCAGCAGTCCCAAGGTCCATTTTGCTCCCCCCTACCCACCCCCCACCCCCGCCCTAGAAGAGGCTTCGGAGGAAAAAGAGGGCTTCTTGTGGAGTTGGGCTGGGGGGGGGGGGGGGGGGGTTGGCTGTAGTTTCGGAGTTTCGGGCTTAGGGTCAGTTAGGGCAGTTAGGGCTCAGGGCGTGCGAAGAAAGGGCTGCAGCGGGGTCTCTTGCAGAGCCAGTTTTCGGGCTCAAGAAATGGGGGTTTCCGAAAATAGGGGTACCTTTTCCGGGGGTTCCTATAATTGACGATTATACTATTTTGGGCAAGATTAAGGGTACCCTCATTTGGGGAAATCCCCAAATGAGTTGGCTTCTTTTTGTCGCGATGTGGTGTTTTGGCGTTCGCTGCAAGAGGTGCTGCTTCCAGAAGCGCCGGAACAGACTCGGCGGCTAGAGGACATCACAAGGCGAGATGTGCTCTGAGTCGACCTGGGGCGTTTCAGTAGGTTTTCGGGTTTAGGGTTTAGGGTTTGGGGTTTGGGGTTTGGGGTTTAGGGTTTAGGGTTAAACGAGCAGGGGTTCGGGTTCAGTCGACGCAAGTTGCAGCAAGCGGCCCTGGACTCAACTGTGCATCGCGCCAGGCACGCCGGAATTGCCTCCAAGCAAATGCTGGCCAGAGCCAAGCATGGCATCTTGGTCCTGAAGTGTGCTTGTGGTGCCCTTTCCCAAAAAGGTCATGTGCTGGGCTTCGGGTCGGCCTTAGAGCAAAGGGTCCATCGAGGTTGCGGTGCACAGCGAGTTGTGGAGAACCCCGCATCGAGTCCACCCCCGGCCGAAACCGCAGCCGTGGCGCTTCTTGAGCTTGCGATGTGCTTCAAGCCAGGCTTTCGCGAGCGGGTGGTGAACCTTTGCCCACGCATCTCAGACTGGGAGGTGCACCTTGGTAGAGGGTGCTTGGGGGGTTCTCTATTCTTTTGCAGTCAACGTCTGCACTCGTCTGAACCAGAGGAGCTGACACTGCTTGCTTGCACATGGAACCAGTTGCAAGCTTCCATCCTCGGCTTGCATCAAGAGGAGTACTACCTCAACGATGACGCAGAGAATGTCCACGCACGCGTTTACAAGTCGGCCAGTGCACAGGCACTCCGCTGGGATGTTTTTGCATGTTTTTGCTCTGGTTCTTGGCGTTCCTTGTGAGTTTCGCGGCCTCTACACCCCCACCCCCCCCCCCCCCCCCCCCCCCCCCCCCCGCCCCCCGCCTCCTGGCAAAGCGCCAAAGGCCCAAACAGCAGAGCAACCGCCGTAATCCTACAACTTCGGCAATTTGAGGTGGCCGTGGTCTCCTTCCGCGGCACACAGGCCGATGGCGGAGACCGGGGGGGGGAGGGCGCACTCAGCACCTTGAGTTCCCTGATCATTCCGAAGAAGGGGCATGCTTGCCGGTGGAATTGATCTGGTTCAGGCCTCTATTTTATCGAAGTAGCCCAGCGAAACGGGCATTAATTAGTTCAGGGCCTTTGAGGCTTAAGACCCATCCTCCGTCCCCCTCAAGGCCAAATCGGCCCAGAACTGGGAGATTGACTCGGACATCAACATGTTGCTCGTGCAGATAGTAAGATTCCCACCATCACATGTAAGTCTGATGTAAATGACACTTGTCGTTTCGAGAAGCACATGTGCTTGTGCACGGTCTTGGGGGAGGAGGGTCCCGAAAGCCTTTCATCCAGGCAGCCTCCCAAACTCTAAGCTCCGTTCTTAAGAGAAACGAAAAAAGCTTGAGAGGCCCCCTCAAACCCCATGAAAACGGGTCAAAAAGGGTGTGAATTTAAGGAGAACTCCGAACGCCCCCCAAGGCTCAACGTCGAGCTGGGCGCTCCAGGGCCCCATGGCCCCGTCACTTCGGCTGCAGGGTTTATTTCGGGGTTGAGGGGTTTAGGGGTTCTGAGGGCAGAAAGGGCAGCAGTCGAGTTAGATGTCTCCCCGAGCGCGAGTCTTGGAGAGAAGTGTTCCATCTTTCAGTGTGCTGGCGCCGGCCTCAGTCCATGCTTCAACAAAAAGGCCCCCGAATTGTGAATCAACCCGCCCAACTGTGTTTTCACCAAGGCCCCTGCAGAGGTGAACGTTCATGAGGCTGGGCTTCGGGCAATTTGGAGTTCAGACACTACACAGAAACGTGTTGGGGTGTAAAAGCTGGAGGCCCTGCCCTTCTGTTAGACAGAAGCTTTGGCACCCACGGTCAGAGGGGCTCGGCAGGATGTGCGCATTCGAAGTGCGAAAACTTTTTCCTCATGAGCTTTCCGTGTGCATCCAGGCACCCTTCTACCCTAAGACCCTTGCCTGCCATTTGCGTGCGAGAGTCGACATCCTAAGACCCCCAAACTTTTTGCGAGAGCATGTTCCGCTCTCGGGCTACTTAAGCCACTGAGCCCCCGTTGTGCGCAGGGCTTCTACTTGGAGCTGCAGCGTGTGCTGCCTCACGTGCGCAAGTGGGTGGAAGGCTTGCTTTCTCCGAGTGGTTCTTTCTGCGCTTTCTTAGCAGAGCACAGGGGTGTGCTTTCCAGCGGAGATGCAGAGGAAGTTTTTCTGGGGGTAAGCCTCGACCATGGAAGCTCTGCTTGGGGTTCTTTCCTTCCCCACCCAAGCCTACATCAGCACAGAACAGCAAATCACTAGATCATCGAAGCACACCACGAGACTTTCAAGAACCCCCCCCCCCCAACACAATGCAAAGCCCACATCGCACCTTGAGCGAGGCTACATCGAGGGGACGCAGGCGTGGCTTCAGGGTAGGCTTCATGGGCTTGAGCCTCGGCGGTTCCCGCGAGCTGACAGAAGCAGAAGCCTGAAGGGTCTGGGTTCTCTGAGTGGCTTTAAAGCGGCTTCAGGCTACAGAGTGTTTGAGGGCATCTCCTTCAGCCTCCTTTCTTCAGGTACCTACGGAGACCCGGGGGGCCGGACCGCCCACAGGGGTCGAGCTCCAACCTTGTTTGAGCCATCGCGTGGCTTCTTTCGGCTCAGACGGTCCTCTTCCCCAAGTGCCTTCGATTTGCCTCTCGTGGCACTTCGGCCGGCCACCACTATGGGCAACTGGGCCCAGCAAGAAGAGCTTGAGTTCGAGCATTGTCTGCCTCTGTGTGTCTGTGTCTGTTTCTGTCTATGTCTCCCTCTCTCTCTCTCTCTCTGTCACTGTCACTGTCTCTCCCTCTGTCTCGCTCTCGCTCTCTCGCTCTCTCTCTCTCTCTCTCTTTCTCTCTCTCTCTCTCTCTCTCTCTCTCTCTCTCTCTCTCTCTCTCTCTCTCTCTCTCTCTCTCTCTCTCTCTCTCTCCCTCTCTCTCCCTCTCTCTCAATCCAAAGTACCTGTCCCCCATAATGCTGGTAGAAGCCCCGAAATCTGGCACGGTGGGATCAGGGAACTTGTGCTGCGGCGCTTCCGGCAACCAGCACTTCGATGGCCTTGTGGCGAGCCTGCCGAGCCTGTCTGGCAAGGTCCCTCCACTCTCACGCAGTAAGCATTCAAAAGCCACCACAAACCATCAAAACTGACAGGGTTTAGGGTGACCTAAACCCTAAAACCGGGCAAGAATCCCTGCCGAGTAATCCGTCCAGCCATGCGGGTGCGAGAAAGCCGCCATTCCTTGAAGGTGGTGGCGGTGACGGGCTGCACATCTGGCACCGGCAGGCGCTACTGTTATTTGCTCCTTTGAAAATGCAAGATCCGGGGTGGTCTTCAGCAAAAGTAGGCTGGGGGCTTCTGCTGTCTGACTCGAACTTCAACTCATCATAGCCATTCCACATTTTTGCACACCCTTTCCCTTACTTATACAGGACTCTGCCCAAAAAGAGAGAGTCCCAAGGAAAGAGCCGCAGCCAAGTCACCAAGAAAGAACAGGTTTTGAGTCTTGGACTTCGTCGAGCCTTTGCATGCTGGCCGTCAGCAAGTCCAGCTTCCAGAAAAGGGTTTCATGTAGAGGTCCAGAGCATGACGATTCGGAGGCCTCTTTTTGCCGAGGCTGCCGAAACAGGGGGCCAAAAACTACAAGCCTTTGATGTGTCATCGGGGGAGGCCAGCCCTTTAAGCCCGAACCCCGAGTGGATGCTGTGGGCACTCCGGAGGATCTTCGCGCGCACCTGCGCCCGGAAGGGGGCCAAGGTCGTGCTGCTGAACCTTGGGCTTTTTTGGGGGGGTGCCTGAAGTAGGTGTACCTGCTTGGGGTTCTTATTGTAAGGGAATGCTACTATTTGCACTTCACGGGGGAGGTTCAGGCAGAAGCCCCCGCAAACCAAGCTCCTCAGACTTCCCAAAGCGTCGCTGTGCTGCGCCAGACTCTGCGAGCAAGCCCCTTGAAACCTACAACAAAGGGTCACCCGCTGATGTAAGCGAAGTTCCAGGAAATGCAAGCACGAGTGTGCCCTTCCCATTTTTCAATTTCCTAGACAGTCCCTTGACTTACAGAAAGCCGGCCTTCTATTGCAAACTTTATCTACCCTATGATTGTCACTCACCCATGTCCTCCCTAAACGATCCCTCCAGTCATGAGACTCTGCCCAGGCGCCCAAAGGATCCCTAGAGCTGAAGTGGAGCTTATCCTCCCTGCACCCACCCTGAACCCACCCCAGACCCCTTCAAAAAAAACCCAGAACCCTGAACCCTAAACCCTGAACCCTAAACCCGCGACCCCCCAAGTGATCTTTGAAGCCCTCAGGAACCGGGCGTCCCACCGCTCCGATGAAGCCCTCAACGACCTGCGGGAAGTGGCGAAGACCGCGGGCGCTCCGGAGCCCTTGAGCCTTGGACTCTCTTAAAAGGAGGGTTTAGGGTTTAGGGTTATAGGGTTTAGGGCTGTCAGGGGTTCGGCTGGGCTCTCCGGGGCGGGACCTCAGGGCAGAGTCTGGGTGCCAAGAAAGGGGGCTCATGGGTACCTGATACGCCATGAGAGAGGGTGTTTAAGGGTTTTGGGTTCAGGGTCTAAAGCTTGGGGCTTAGGAGCACCCAGCGCTAGAGAGCCCAACTCGAACCATGACTCGGGAGGGGAGGGCTTATAACTGGTCTCTGCGCACGTAGGAGCGCAATATGCTTTTCCTCTTTTTGGTGATGCTCTCCTTTCTGCTGTTGGTTCTTGCCTCCTCCTGCCACTCCAGGTTTAAATTCGAGGCAGAGTCAGAGAAAGGTATGTGCATATATATATATATATATATATATTAATATGTATATATGTAAACGTAGACATATCTACATATACATATATGTGTGTACATACATCTATTAAGTTCTCTCCGCCCCTGTACTTCCCCGTGAGCCTCCAAGCTTGAAAAGCTTCAGATAGGCTCTGCCATTCCCTCAATGAATCCCGGATTCTTTACGTTATACAGAACCTAAAAGACGAGGTTCCTTTACGCAGTGTCGAAAGCAAGTCTTGTTGTTCAGAGTTAGTTCAACTTCTTCAACAGCCCCATGCTCTTCCCTGTTCACTCAACGCAGGAGCATCTCCTGCGACCTCATGAGTTTCAAGAGCGTCCGTGATGCTGCCGAGCAGCTGAAGTCTGAGCTTGGCAGCTCGGGCCTGGACGTCCTCTGCAACAATGCGGGAATCATGGGCTTCGGCGATAAGGCCACCGAGGATGGTTGCGATGTGCAGATGCAGACGAACCATCTCTCCCATTTTCTCCTGACCTGCCTCTGCATTTTTGGGCGCCTTTCAGAAGACGTTTTTCTAGTGCGTGTTCTGGCCGGGAAGCCAGCTGGAAGTTGCTAAAGGCTTTGCGCGTGTGCATCTACCAGTCCTGACCAGTTACAGGGCCGTACACACTTAGGGCATGGGGTAAGTGCAGCTTATGCCACGGGAGCTATTGCTGAAAACGGCTACCTGAGTTGGGTCGACATCTAATGGCCATCGTTGTCGCAATCAGCCGTTGTCCATGTTGTGGGTAGCATCACGAGTGTGAGAGCAGAGGACGACAATACATGCCCACCGAAACAAGTGTCGGGTTGTTGACCATTCCTCAACCCCAAGCCGCAGTACCTCTGACTTGTTCCTCGCCCGCGCATGCCAGTGTGACAGTCGAAACCCTAAACCGCAGTGCGAATGGCGGGGCTCAGGTATGCCTTTGCTCGAGAAGGCGGCTTCCTTGCGCGGCGAGGCGATGAGGGGGAGCCGGGAAGCGAATAGAAAGCTCATTACCGGACATTTTCTGTTGTTCTTCTTCTAAGATGATGGTTCTGTTTGTTACCTTATGTTATATTAAACTGCATGACATGACATTATCTATGAATGTATCTTCGAACGCTTTACAACTCCGAGGTACACGATCACGTCAAAGCAAGAACGTCACCATGCCATGGGCACTTAATCGAGGTTGTGCGGGGGTTTTGGATGTCATGACTTGGCTTTTTGCAAGTGTTTTTCGGTTAGTGAGAACGCATCAAGCTGTTCCTGCGCGTGGAAAACTCTACGTCGTCTTCTGTAGACCAAACGAGGAAGAAGCTCCATCGAGTCCCCAACTCCCCACCCTAAGCCCCAAAGTCATGACGCGCGCTGTGTTTTGGAGGCCCGGGTGGTGAATCACTCTAGCGCCGCTCGCGCGATGCAGGGTCTTCCAGACGACAAGCTCCAGGAGAGGGCGGACGCCATGTTCATGGGCGCCTGGGGGGTCTCTCTCCTTTTCCCGAAACGCTGCAGTAGCCTCGGCTCCTTTCACGGCTACCTTATCAACTACGGCGTTTTTCCGGCATCTGAATCCAGAGTTCTCTACCTTGCCAGGAGAAGTATTTGGGAAAGAACGGTGGCAACCTGGGCGGAGACAGCAACACCATGTTCAGGGGCGCCAACTTCGTCCGATACCAGCAGAGCAAGCTGGCCAATGTCGCCGCCAGGCTCCTGATCCGTACTCTGCTGGTCTCTTAACTCGGTTCCTCACTTTCCGCATAGAGCCCCGACGCAGCCATTTGGAAGCGGGCATCTTTTCAATAATCTTTAATACAATATTATACTGTAATGTTTTATCATGTCATAAAATAGAATATAAATGAATTATTATAACACAAGATAATATAATATCATGCAATTTATAGTTCTTTGGGAGCTCAGGTCTTCACCTATGCCCTCCACGAGCGCCTGCAGAAAGCAGGATCCAAGGTTAAGGCTCTCGTGGCCCACCCTGGCGTTGCCCACACCCAGCACCTCTGCTTCACGCAAGGGGGGTGTGCAGTCAAAATGCTGGGGAAACGCGGTTTTTTCAGGTTGACAGGCTTCTGACGGGTTAATTGGGGGGCTGGGGGCGCGGGCAGAAAAGTCAGGAGAGCTGTGGCAGGCAGGAAAAAGAACAAGAACAGCACTAAAAAAGAGAAAGCGCAGAGGATGCTCGAATTTTTGCTTACCAAAAGAAAGTTTGAAATTCGCGCACCTCCTAGGCTGACGCAGGGCACCGTGGATGCAGGCGGCGCGGCAGATTTTGGGAGCCTTCCCAAGTGGCTCAGCGTCGCAGCTGCAAAAGGCGAACAGGGACGGAGAGAAGGCTGAGACATTTCGGGGTGGGAGTGGGTTAATGTATGTTTGATGTGCTGGGACAGGTGAGTGAAGCTCATGGCGGGTAGCTTCCGTACATCTGAGGTGACGCTCTGATGAGCATGTCGGGGCAGTCCGAAGAGGATGCCACTGTTGGGATCCTCCGCAACGCCTGCGACCCTCAGGCAAAGTCTGGCGAGTTCTACGGCCCACTGGGCAAAGGCCGAGCACCTTTCTTCGCCATACATCGCAGAGAAGCACAGCTCGGGATTCAGACACTGTATGCTTTCTGCGTCCCACCTCGTTGAACTGCTTGCAGGCAGAACTGTTCTTGCAAGCGTTTGTTGTGTCTCGTGCCTTCGCAATCACAACAAACAAGGCCAGGCAAGAGAAAACTCCTCATTGAAACATGCTGCCTAAGTTGCCTCGCCCGCATGAAGCCCTGAGCAAAAGAGTCAGCAAAAAACCAAGCCCCCTCATGGTCTTGAAGCTCTCTATAAGCACACCCAGCGCCGAAAAAGTCAATCGAGCTCTACCCTAAACATCCCTAAACCCCTAAACCCCTAAACCCTAAACCCTACCCCTCCTGAAGCCAGATTTTTCAGATCCAACCCGGCAACCATGAGGGACTTGAGTATGCCAGAAGCAGTGCCAAAGCATCCCTTCTACAAGAGGCGGCGCGACCGGAGCCCACGACTCCTCGGAATACAAGGGTCCTGTCGGGCTCCTGAAGAAGGAGCCCACTTCATTCCCACGAACTTTTCACGCAAAGCAAGGGCCTCGCAGGCTTACGTGTACTTGGAAACTGAGTAGGTAGCCTCTTTTGGGGTATATAGAATCCTACCACAGTTGAACGGATAACCTTTTGTGGCCCAGGGTACTCAGCAACTAAGTGTAGGATAAAGTGTACTTAGCCAAAAGGTTGACTGTTAAGGTTGTTGGGTTGCCTTTTTCATCGGAAGAGTTTAAGTTTAACCATTTCATCCCCTGGCTATCGGAGAAGTGAGAACACAGGCGATTTTTGTTGTTGTTTCCTCTTTTTCTTTTTTGTGGGTGGGGGAGATATGTTACGATCAGGGTAGGGTTTTGGAGGGGCTTGAACGTTTAGAAGGCAGACGTTTGGGCCCCGCGTGCAAAAGGCCCAACCTGTAACCGGAATTGTAATTCAGACGGATATGGCTCATGGATCCCGCCCTTGTACTAACAATCCTTAATATAGATTGTAGTCCCCCCAATCTAATCCCTATTAAGGTCTGTCAGCATAAGGGGAAACATCCGAACTCACCACTACGTTGCTGCGCCCACTGCCCCAGCGGAAGGAGCCTTTGGCAGATGATGAGGCCCAGGCCATGCTTTGGGCCACCAGCGAGGCAGGGTTTAGGGTTTAGGGTTTAGGGTTTAGGGCTTAGGGCTTAGGGCTTAGGGTTTAGCATTTGCTGTAGCTTGGCGGGCGGGGAGGGGGGGGGTACTTTGAGTTTCATTTAAAGAGTCAACCCGTCAACCCGACTGGAGGCCACCACCGGCATCAAGTTCGACGTGCGTTGAGCCGATGGCAGCAGCTTCAGAGTCCGCGGTGCTCGGGTCTTGAAACCCAGCACCTTTCGAGGCCCCCTTGGGCAACTTGGCACGAAGACCTGCCAAAGTGCGCCTACGCCAGCGCGGCTGTTTGAGCCGTTCTCTCCTGGGTCCCGTGGGCAAAACTGTTGCAAGAAACCTTCCTTTCGGGCATTGCTGCCCCCTTGTTTTCTCACCCTCGGCGTGAACAAGAGCATCGCAGACTTCCTTCCCTAAAGTGCAAAGCCCCTTTCGGCTGCCAGTGCAGAAAAAAATACGGAAGCTGAACCGTCCCCGTAGATCTCGTGACAACAACGAGGTCACGAAACCTCTGACGTCCCCAAAACCTGTGCAGGGCCTGTTCGGCATTCCCAGCTACTGGAAGCTCGCATCTCGGCACAAGCGAGAGACATGCTTGTACATACAAATTCAATCATGTGTGTATATATATATATATATATGTGTGTGTGTGTGTGTGTGTTCATGTTTTTATTTATATCTATATCTATATCTATATATATATATACATATTTATTTATACATGTATACACACAGAGTACCATCGGCACCCCCCCCCCTAGGTCTTCACTGGCCACAGCCTGGGCGCTGCGCTCGCGATTCTGGCGGCGACCATAGCGGAGGCCGGGCCGCGAGTTGCTGAGTTGACGAGGCCCAGGACATGTTCTATCTAGCTTATTATATAATGTGCATATATATATATATACATATTTATATTTATTTTATTTTATATTTATATTTTCATTTGACATGTTCTATCTAGCTTATATAATGTGCATATAAGAATATCTATTGTTGTATTTGTCTACCTTTATTTGTTGCTTGCATGCTGATACGTTCGCATGTTCGTATGTTGATATACAGAGGGTTTAGGGTTTGGGGGGCAGCAAGGTTTAGGGCACGCGCTCGAAGGCTTTGAGAAGTACAGTCGGGATTTTTCGGACGTCCAACGCTGGGGATTCGGGCCATGGGTCTTTCACAACCCAGACAGGCTAGTTGGACACAAAAGTCGATGCCAAATGAGAGAGCACGCAAAATTCCCCCAAACAGCTTCGAATGTTCGCCATGGCCCGTCGGGTACTGCCAGCGCTGCTTCTTCGAGCATGCCTATATTGATTGCGAGCGAGAGAGAGAGAGAGAGAGAGAGAGAGAGAGAGAGCGAGAGAGAGAGAGCGAGAGAGCGAGACCAACACCTGGCCATCAACACCAGAAAGACCCCCGCTCAAAAGTTCGCCCTTAACACTAGGTGAAAAACAATCGCCCTTAAACACAAACCAGACCTATTTCCCAGAGGCCGAGTCGTGGCCCCGCCTTCCCGACGCAGTCATCGCCTTGGCGTCGCCGCGCGTGGGTGACAGGGGGCTCAGCACCTCGGTCGAGGATGGCTTTTGGGCTTAGCGGCTTGGCGGTTTAGGGATCAAAGGTCTTGTACACATGTTGGCTGGTTTTGTTATTGGCTTTATGTGTACAAGTTAGCTCTTGCAAGTACAAGAGTATGTTACATGGGTTTGGGAAAGGGCTCTTGTCGGGGAGCTTTGGATGCGGGTGTCTGAAGCCGTCCAGAGGGTGTGGAGTCGCTGAAGCAAAGGCAGGTGAGAGCAAACCGAGCGCAGATCATATCCGCAGGCTCGCAAATCCAAAACATGAAAACAATGTATTCAAAAATATTTCAAAAAGGATAGAGAGAGAGAGAGAGACAGACTGCGCCTCCCCTAGGCCAGTGGTGGGAGTCCCGGGGCCTCTGCAAGAAGCTGCTGCGGGTGTCCGTCTACAACGATGCTGCTTAGCTAAGGAGGGCCCTTATAAAAGTTCAAACTGAGTTTGGGACTCTCTACTGCCCGAATGTCGAGCTGGAAGCCCCAGCATACTCCTGAGCCCAGGTGATTACCTACATGCCCTTCATGGAGCCCCTGCAGCTGATGGCCACTGAGGCTTCATGTGACGTAGGCACGTCGCAAGCATGAATGAGCGCAGCTAGGAATGACCACCCAGCAGGGATCTTCTTGCAGTGGAGCCAGGGCCGAGGGTTTTGTAGGTTCACGTCCCGCAAGAAGTTCCATTTGCCAGCCAAGGGCGCAGCCCTGCCCCGCCGATCCTCTTGCAATAAGGACCCCTTTAAGGTCCCCCCCCCCCAAATTTCAGAGAGAAACAACAAAGCACCTCCAGGGGATAAACCCCCCCCGGCAACACATGTGACTTCTAAGGACACCTTGAACTACTGCTTCCAAAACGCGATGCGCTGCCTTGGGCAGCTGGCCAGTGGGCCCAAGTCCTTGCACCCCAGCGAGAGGCCGATGTCTTGATGATGATTGCTATGTTGTGGTGTCATTTCTTGGGTCACGGAGAATCATGAAGCCTCTTCCTGTACATATTGGTCTTTTTCAATACGGTAGACTCATAAAGATGCCTCCGACCAGCGGTAGGTCGACAAGCTTTTATCGTTCATTGCAGCTTGCAATGCCCTCCAACCCCATCAACAAGCTCAAGCGCATCTTCTGTGGCATAGATTTCCTCCATGTCCCTGATGTTGCGCAGGTGGGCCCACGTTTGTCCATCCAGCGTGGCTCTCCTGCACGGAAGAACCCGGGGGCGCTTTGCATGTAGCCGTGAGGGATTCTCACTTCTGCTGAGGAGCTGTACATCCCTGGAGCCGTCAAAGGTGTCAACTCAAAGATGGAGGAGGGGGGTCGTGTACCCAAAGCCTACCCAAGGGAAGCCCCCAAATAAAGCATTCGAGGAGGTTGCACCCATGTCTCTTGAGATCACTGCTACAGCCCCGCATTCTTGATATTCACCTCAATTTGCTGCTGTTCCTAATTACCAGGATTTCTCACTGATGGGTGGCGCCCTCGCCCACTTCATCGGTAACACCCTTTTCGGCTACTCTTATGGTGTCTTGTGCCTTGGCTTTGTCTCCTACAGGACCTTGCGATAGTCGGCATGTTCCTTTATAAGGGGGGAAGAGGGTTGGAGAGGATCATATTGAATATTCTCAGAGGGTATAAAGAGTCATATTCAGTATTTTCAGAGACAACAAGCCAAACCGTGCTTTCGATGGCCCAGGAATAGCGACATCCCCCGGCACGATGCCTACTGCGGGCTGCGGAAGGCGCGGCACCGCGCAAGCTCGGAGAGAGCGGGACCACTTGAAGGTCACGGGGTGCCCTGCCAAAAAGGGAGTCTCCAAACAGATGCCTCAGAGTCCCCCAAGGAAAGAGCGCTGTTTGAAGCTACGAAGTCACTGCCAGGATCTCATGCCGGCAGCAAGCTGCACGACGGTGGAGGAAAACCGGCGTCGGGCTTTTGGGGACCGGAAGGTTCCATCACAAAAGAGGCGATGGCTTCGAGAACGGGGGGTTGGAGATGGATTGGCAAATTGGGGCTGTTGATGGGTTCCGGGTTGCTCAGCTCTTTGCGGGGGGGGGGGGGGGGAGGAGGACCCGTGCCAAGTCACCCGGAAAGACAAAAGAGCCCATGTTATTAAACTGGACAAGACACAGGTTCTCAACAGCAAAAGCATCAGCCATGCGGTCGACGAGCAAAAAAAAAACATTGTTAAAGCTCAAGCTTGGAGACCAAAAGATGCGGCTTGGTTTCTTCCAAGACGAAGCCCTTTTGCGATTTCGCCGTTTGGATTTCCTGACATTAATAATCATTGATACAGCTCATAAGCAACCACCCTGAACCCTAAACACTGTAAAAACTCAACCTTAAACGGAAGAGGAGCTCGATGAGGTGGTATGCTTCGGTCTCGCCCACGACGCTTGGCCCGCCCTCTTTGGTGCAATAAGTTGAGGTCCTCTTTTGGTTTTCTGGGTTGTGTGTGTGTGTGTGTCCCAGCTTGCCAGAGGCTTCCATCTTTGGGGGCCCCCCCCCATTATGCAGCACTCGTGTCTCAAATTCTCAACAGCTTCGTGCCCTCAAGAAGCGCAGTCATGTGCCTCCTAAAACCCCCGAGGATGCCAATGCAACGTCAGCTGCACACTGCCGGCAGAACTGCTGCGAGGATGAGTACTGCAGCGTGTGGCAGGTCATGAGGACAAGGGCTTCGGGCTTCACGGCGTTGCATGAGGCGTGAGAGCTGACTTAAAAGACATTGCTCAAGGCTTTGGCGTTGGGGGTTGCAAGACTTTTCAAACACCCACTTACACCCCTAACCCGGAACACTAAACGCGATCAACAGCCGCAGCACCAGGAACAACCAGTGCTGGCGAGGCCGCAGCCACGACTGCACCGCGCTCCACCCTTATGCCAAAGAGGCCGTCGCTGCGCACTCGGAGCTTTGAACGCGACCCGATTCGACGTACTATATCACTCCACCAGCGCGCACGGGCATCCCCGGGCATCTCATGAACAGCTGTAAGACACGAAGAATCTGATTGAAGAAGCTCTGGACATCCCATCCTCTGTGGAGGTGGCAGTGGGGCAGCGCTTGCACTGAGAGCTCAGGGACGCTTTGAAAGGTAGGTCCTCTCGCTGTGTAGCTCTTCGCGCTAGAAGTTGAGGACTGATGTGAAGCTTAGAGAGTTCTTTGCGAGGCTTGCAACAGCTACAGCGGGCGCCCGAAAATAGAATGCACGCGCTTACTGGAGGAGAACACCTCCAGCTTCAGCTTGGTTTAATAGATCTGCTGAATTCGGGGCCGTCGCTGTCGCGGAAGGCGAATGTATCGTAAGATTGCTGCTGTGGCAATCACTGCTGGGGGCATCGGCCTGCATGAGACGCAGCGCCACAGCAACGGCACGAACAAAACCTCAACGTGTCACCCCAGTAGCTAGGACACCGGGCCATCGGCACTCATTCAGAAGCCAGTTAACCGGAAACCGCGTGAAGAGCAGCTCACATTGTGCATCTTGTAGACTTCAAGCATGTGAGACGCTATTCAGACCTTCCAGCACGGCACAAAGTCAAGCCGCTGAGGGCTGTGCACACAGTTCCCACTCTCTACCGGGATTCTAAGGGACTCTAACTCGTTTCCTCACTCCTCAACTCGAATCGCCCTTTCGTTCCCTAGCCGTCGTGAGTGAGCACCTCATGCCCAAGTCATGGTGCCAGCTACACAAAACCCGATCGTTGTCAGGGCTTGAGGGACCCACAAGCCTTCAAGTGCTTCGATGACAGCATTGGCTTCATAGGTTCGTAGCCCATCACTCAAATCAGCGTTGTGGCGAAAAAGGGGCCTGGTGTCAGGATTCAAGGCCTTGCAGGTCTTACGGCTCACTTCAGCTTTTTAACCTCACAGCATGGCAAAGTAATTGAAGCTGCGAACCGGACGGAATATGGATGCGTGGCAGTAGGGAGTAGCTTCTGATTCAAAAACTAGATAGTATTGGCAATGAGTTAGGCTCCTGTATTCAGCCAGGCTTTTGGGCTGAGCAGCATAAGAAGGATCCCTATCTCCAAGGAATCTTCCTTGCTTGAGGGCTTTGTAGGAGCTCTCGTTACCCCAAATCCACGCAATGGAGAGAGCACTCAGCCCAAGCCTCGAAGCCTGCAGTCCCCATCAAGAATCTCTGCTTATGTTGGGAGGAACAGGAACAAGTCGTAATGACAAGAGCCACGTAGTCGTAGCAGCAGCAGAAAAGAGTAGTCGCAGGAGCAGGAGCAGTGGTAATATCACAAATCTTCATCGGAATTATCGTAGCACTCGCCAGCATTTTACATCATAATACTGGATCATCATATCTCATTTTTATACTATGAGCCAGGCTTCACTTTCTGAATTGCCAGGTCAAGGGCGGCCCTCCAGTGTGGGCCCCAGGTTGTCGGCCTTTGGGATTTCAGCCCCTTCCAGGTTTAGGGCTTTTTGTGTAACAATGGAATAGCATTCCATAATGAATACAATGTATGGCAGACTATACGGTAAAAGCAGTGTAGCTATGATATATAGAGCAGAATGACCTAGTCATACAATAATTGCCCAAAGGAAATTTCGAAGAATATGATAATCTTTCATCCTTGCCGTGGTGGTGTGCGTTGCAGGCTTCGGTCAGAGACTGGGAGACAGTCGTATAGTATACGTATAGAAAGAGAACGCCGCCACCCCGCAACCCTCCACCCCCCTGACCCGCCCCCCCACCCCACCAATAAAACAAAAGAATGAGACCTCCCTTTCCGCAAGATACGGCACGGAGGGGGGGGGCGTAGTCGAGGAAGTTGTCAAGCCTCAAGGGGTGCGATTTGGAGAGGAAGGGGCATAAGCCATTCAAGAAAGGCGATGCAGACACCCCCCCCCCCAAGAGTCGATGAATGCTGCAGGTCGAAGATCAACACCATAATTGGAGGCAGCTTGTCCGATGCGACTTCGATCCCCAAAGCAGCACATTCTTCGCAGGTTGTTGGGCTTCAAGCAGGGTTTGGAATGCCAGTGACGACTATCCACATGTCGGAAGCCTCAGAGCAAAGCCTACAACGAGCCGTGAATATAGCATAGCATAAGATCACACAAATGTAATATTAGATAATCATATATTGATTAATGATGTTTTAATATAAAAGTATACGAATAATGTAGTCTTGGGGATCGCTGGGCTTGGAGTGGACCCTCAGCCCTTGACTGCGCCTCTTTGGGAGGCCTGGCGCATGCGACGCATGCGCAAGAGGCCAGGACGGCCAGCTGCTCAGGCGCTGCATTTTGTGCGTGAGCTGTCGGGAGACCGGGCTTTCAACTTAGCGCCCAAGGTCATGGAGGCTTGGCGATCTGTGACGAAGCAGGGCAAGTTCGACAAGGAGAAGCCCATCTCTGAGTTCTATCGAGGGCTCGGGACACGTCACTCTTCCCCTACTACTAAGCCCCCCTTTCCCGCCCCACCCCCAATACTTTAGCGGAGAGAGAGCACATGAGGGCGCGTTCTTACAGTCTAGTACATCACGCATAGCATGAATATTTATATTCATGTTCATATTATATAGATATGGAGGTACATCATCGTACATCCCCTCTGCAAAAGAACCCGAGTAAGTGAATCTTGCATGTCCTTTTTTTGGGGGAGGGGAGCTCTTGCAAGGTCCAAGCTGAAGCAGGCGCAGGCCTGGCCGGCCCTTGCTTCCCAATTTGGGGGGGAGCTTTTTAGGGCCTGGGCTCTGGCGCTTAGGGAGTGTAGGAAGTTTTGGAAGGCGGTTCTGGCAGACACCTTCGAGCCCAGGTGCAAGAAGGGTTTCGGGTTTATGGTGATCACTTTCAGGCGAGGATTCCTGCGAGCCTCTTTTCAAAACAGAGTGTTGAGGGTGCGGGGGGTTGTGGGAGCACTCTTCGTCTATGGCTACCCATGACAGGTGCAGCAGACCCTGATGCACTGGATGGGCGATTTGAAGAAGACCATCCAGCCAGCGCTTTGGGCTGAATATCTGGGAACCCGAGGCTTTAAATGATTTCTCGTTAGTGTTCTGACGTCACGATGATTGCTCTTTCTTGGTTATCCTGAGTGAAGGCAGAGGCTCCCCTGGAAGTTTTGAAAAAAGGGTCTTTAGAAGCCCAGTCTCGGAAGTCGTCCCTACACCCTCGACCCCTCACAGTCTCTCGAAGGGCCCTTTGTGGGGGGGCCCCTCAAGTTTAGGGTTTAGGGTTTAGCCCTGATTGCAACTTACCCTGGCAGCCCAACCCTCCCAGACGGTCTTCTTCGCCTGGCGCCGCCTTCTCGAAGCTAAGCGCGAGGAGCCCTTCTGTACTCCAAGCCTTTCAGGGCTCCTCTTGGCTCCTTCGCAGGGCTTGGGGAACTTTGGAGGAATTGGAGGAAGTGCCTTCAGAAATGTAATCCACCGGGGCTGAATTGGCATATAGAAGCCCATAGAACTTCTTTCACAAGTTGACGGAAAGGTGAGCCAGGTCTAAGCTATCACGCAGTGTCTTTTCAGGATGCTCCCAACTGCACGCTTCCTCACGACACCTGCCCATCTTAACGCCACGGCAGGAGAAGAAAGCGGCCCAGATCCGCCGGGAGCACGCTCGCCTGGCCAAGGAGCCACCAAAGCATCCCAAACTCCTTTGGCTGACGACGCCACCCCCGAGTTTGCTGCGAGGTTGAGCCAGATCGCTGCTCTTTAACGCTTGGGCTGGAGGGTCTTTTGCTATCTGTCCCAGGAGGAAGCGAAACATCGCATGATCCAAGCAGCCGGGCCCTAAGTGCCAGACTTCAAAGATGCTCGGAGTTGGACACTCTGCGGCGACACGGCTGGCGTTGCTTTTGAAACGATGATGGGGTGACACCGGCATCCACGGTCCACGGTGGAGTCACGCTTCGTGCTTTCAGCGTCTACATTCTGCGGCAAATGAAAATCATGGGCCCAAGGTATTTGTTGTGACCGCAGCCAAAGCCAATAAGCCCTATTGGTTTGCTTGACAGAACTGACTGCGTCATGAAGGTTTCACATTCTTTCAGCTCTTTTCTGCTACTTTCTTGCCATGTCGCTCGTCAACTCCACAACCATATTTTTTGTGTATATGTACATAATTTACATATATATATATATATGTATGTGTATGCGATATTGTACTTTAAGAAGAATGAGTTGTTCTTCATACTGACTTACATACGATAGATATGTTGTCACCTCCTGCCTCCAAGACCCTGGCGCTGACGGGCGACCCCAACAAGATGGATCCCCACGCGATGAAGGCAACTTGAAACTGCTTTTCAATAGGGCAGAGGGCCGGGGCCTGCTATTGGGGGGGCTTAAAGCTTTGGGGGTGTACTCGTAGTTGCTGAAGGAGCCCCAAAACAGGATAAAGGTTTCCGGCAAGGCAACTACAAAGATAAAGTGGTTTGTAGTTACTTATGCTGATCCGAGTTAAAGTGGCAGAAGTCATCGCCTGGGCCAGCCAAGACCTGGCGAGTCACTGCTACTTTCTCTGGCTTGGAGGTTCATGTGTACTTATTTATGAGTGGGGTCATAAGGTACCATAAACCAGGCTATAGCCAATTACAACAAAGCCCTAAACCCTTGCTTCAGGTCGTTCTGCGGTCATGGCGGGAGTGCATGTTGGAGTCGCGGGCCGAGAACGCCCGGAGCTCGGTCACTCGAGCCTCACATCCCCTGACCCTTAAAGAAACAGGGTGCAAAAACCACTCCGAGTTGTCAACTTGCTTCTCTCTGTTTCCGACTGAGGCCCTCAAAATCGAACGCGCCCGCGCCGAAGACCGCCTGCCAGCCCAGACATTTGGCACCTGATGGCTTGCCATCCTGTTCTGCTTTGGTAGGGTCTGGGTATCCTGAGGCCCCTACAGCTCGAGATACGGGCTTATAGGCTGTCAATGTGCTAAAGCAACTCCAGGTTTGCACCATGCTCTCTTGACGAATCTCACAGGCAAGTGTACATGAGAGTCAGAGAAAAATTAGAAATTTTCCCTCCCGTCCAGCCAGTACGCAAGAAGACCCTTGTGTTCGACCTAGGGGAGAAGGAGCGCAAAGTTCAAGCGCAGCGTCGCTTTGCGATGCTTGCTACGGAGGCCATCAGCGAGTGAATGAGGTGCTGTATAAGACGTGGCGTATATTTGGGGGGCATGGATCGCAGGGGGGTCTCCTAGCAAGTTTTCACCCATGCTCTCCTGCCGACTCACTGCATGTGTGCTCAGGAGTTAGGTGTGCGCACGCTTTCAGGTTCGGATCCGTGAGATGAGTTGGCTCGAGTCTGTGAGGGCCAGAGAAGCTGGGGACCATGGAGCCTGTACCAGCCCAGCTGCTTCCAGTTGTTGCTGTCGGGGCATTGGCCTTTTATAGTGTCAAGTGGCTGCTGTCAGGCGGCACAGACCTACGATCCGAACTGCTCCAGGCCTTGAAAAGTCCGGGCCAATTCCAGCAGTTTGTGCAAGGCCTTGTTCCGCAAGGAAGGCCTCCAGGCCATGTCGTCCAGGCCATCTTAGCTGAAGTACAGGGCGTGCTTGGAAGCCAGGCATACATCGAGCTTCAAGGTTCAGCGTGGAAGCACACCAACATCACTTGCTCCGACCATGATTACCACATCAAGTGGTTCAGGTCAGCTGAACCGGTGAGCCCGGTGAGCCGCCAGCAGATGGTCGGAATCTGCTGGTGGTTGAACCTGAAAGGAGAGGTGCAAGCTCACATGGGGCCCACTGCCCTTAAGATTGACTACCAGACTGGAACCACTAGCGGCTCAATCGATGTCGTTCCCCTCAATGGGAACTATTTTGGTCCGGGCGTTATCGTTGAGCCGGCCGACAGGGACTTTCACAACAACATCCCGCGGCAGAACGCGGCCCGAGCCTTGAAGTACGTTGCCCATGTCTTGAACTGGCGCCTTCGGAGCTACGACTTGGAGCGAGTGGTTGTTGGGTTAGATGAACCAGCTTATAACCCGGCCTTCCAGTGGGATCCTCATGCAGCCTACCAACAGGATCGTCATGGCCTGAAGCTCTTCAAGCGTGCAATGCAACTTTACTTCCACCTGTGGCCTCGAGGCTGGCCACAGGAGTTGAAGGAAGCCTTGGAAGCGTAGCATGCGCAGGTGCAGACCTGCAGTCATGGCGTTTTCTGAGAGCAATCGCACTGTTCCTCTCCTCGGGTCGTCATGGTGAGAATCTGAGACTGTTCGTGTTACCCAGTTGTGCTACCCGATAGACCACAGCAACAAAGGTCCAAAAAAGTTTCCTGCAAGCGACACTCGTCACCAGAGGGTCCGCACAATGCTTCGCAGCCCTGCCCCGCATCCTGCCGTTTGGCTTGCAGCATTTGCTTCGCGCTTCGCGCCTGATCCGCAACGACAAGTCCGAAGACCTCGCAAGATGCGGCCGAGCTGCCACAGAAGGGCTCGCAGTAGTTGGTCCACGTTTCCCCAAAAAAAAAGGGCCCCGAATCTCAGGATCAACCCCCCCCCGCCCCCACTTTCAGACGCCCCGTAACCCGTAAGCCAAGGCGTGCCTTCGCTGCTCTCACCCTGGCCATGCTCGTGGGCGCTTCCCCCGTGTTGCGCCCGGCACTCAAAAACGAAAGAACGTTTCAGGTAGTTTCACACGTATTGAACTTGCTTGGAGGGCAGATTCCCGCACCGAGATCCTAATGTCCTGATCGCTACTTGGCACTGGGGGGTTTCATTCAAGGCCCCCGAGGCTGCCGCGTCAGAAACGAAAACTACCATACAAAGGAGACCATATCATGTGCTGCGAACCCCCCCCCACTGCGGTAACAGATGCCACAGTCCCTCAGCAATCCCGGTCAGCAGCTTGGAGGCCCCATGGTCCCTGCAACACCGGAGCTGCCCAGCGCACTGTGCTCGCCCTGCGTGCAGCACCCCGTCTGCAGGGCGCAAGTCACATTAGAGAGGACTCCGACACATGAAAAACGGAGAAGACTTCGTGACAAATAGTACAAAAAGATTGCAAAACAATGGATTGATAAGATAGTTAAAATCATACAATACTAGGATAATATAGTAGTATGCGAATACTGGTATGATGTTTGCAATAAGGCTGGGCTCGCAAGGGATCAATGTGCAACCCGACTGCAAGAGAGGTTTGAGGGGGGTGGGGTGGCTTGGGGGTTTTTGGGGATTTTGGGTTTGGGGGGGGGGGGGGAATTGGTGACAAAAACCCGTCAAATCCACAATTTTGGAGCTTGTGGAGTTGAGAAGGTGCGAGGCAAGGCGCCTCCAGGACCACACTGAAGTTCGTCTTCGCTTGGCGAATATAGGAGTCGGAATAGTTACTATATGATTCCCTTGTGGCCTATATACTTCGGCTATACAAACTCCAAAACCCTAACCTTATTCTGATTGCTAAGGCCCCTATAATACCCGAACCAACCTCTTTGAAATCTCTTGGGTGCGGCCCAGGCTCCTGAATTACCTTCTGCTGCTCGGCCTGCGTTTGGACCAGCTTTGGGGGGCGTGTGCCCTTTGACGAGGTTGCAAAACTGTAACAGACAACATAAACAAGCTCAGCAATTCCTGGGGCCTATCACGTGAAAGCCTCACTCCTCACTCGCGCAAAGCTACCGACAAAGAGCCAAGAGCCTAGAGGCGTTTGTTAACCCAGCAGCTGCCCCAGCCGACACCCCAACAGTCATCGGAGCCCTTCGGGGAGGAACGCGGGTGTTGTCACCAGCTGCTCGAAGCTTTGCGGCCACCTGAGCGGCAAAGCGGAGCAGACGGCCTGGATCCCGGCGTGGCTATTTGGGGGGGTTTCCTAAGTGAGGGGTACCCTTAGTGGGGTCCTTACTGAAGGGGATGCTACTATTTGGGCATCTAAACTGGGGGTCCCCTATCTTCGTAAATCCCCATTTGCAGACATGGCAGTTCAGCTGTGAAGGGATCCTGGATTTCAAGGCACTTCTTGCCCTTTCCTACAACACCTCTCCCATGCTCAGATCTGCAACCTCGCCTGCGACCTGGCGGGAATCAAGGCTCGCTGGCACACAGCTGTTCGACCTCATATCTGCGCGCTGCGGGCTTTGGAACGGAGTGGGAAGGGAGTGGGAAGGGGCAGTGCTACCCAAGAAAGATGACCAGGAGTTTGTGAACGTCCTGAACCACACGGACTTGGATCCCATCTACTTCTGCGAGGCGAGATACTGGCTTCAAGATTTCTACCAGTGCCCATCTGTTTCCAATGTTGGTGATTTCTACACACTATGTTAAAACTAGAATATCTAGGGGTCCTTCTTGTGGATTAGTTGAAGCGTGGAAGCCCTGAACCATCCCCTCCACCCCACATGCCACCTTCCGTAGGGACCGCAGCTTCAAAAGAGCCAGATGCTTCAAGAAATGGGCGGCCACACAGAACTAGAGAGATATAGTTTGCAGATGTCCGTGTGGGGCAAGATGAAACCCCCCCTTCCATGTTCCACTGCAAACGCTGCACCCCGACCGCCTTGCTCAGCTGCTTACGCTCTGCCCCGCCGGCCCCGACGACGCGGCGGCACAGGTCGTGGACGCCAAGGCTGCCGAGTAAAGCTGGTAGCATTGTTTGGAAAGGGACAAGATCTTGTCTGGCTCATCATTCGGGTTTTTGAAGTAAGCAGAATAACAAATATTAATAACAATAGTAATAATAATATTAATAAGCATACTTGCGATGAGAGTCAGTTTTTGTTGACGCAAAGGCATCCAGAAAACTGAAAGAAGCCTTTTTAGCTGCAAAGGCATCGCCCGCAACCATCTCCAAGGGAGACACTGTGCAGCTGATAGCGGACATCAACGTCCCTGGTCAGCAGATGGTGGTTTACGAAAATAGTGGACCCCCAATATAGATACCCAAATAGAAGACTTCCCTTTGTGTAGGAACCCCAATAAGACACCCCTAATTTCGGAAACCCCTACTGTGTTAGAGACTTCGGTGCTTCGCTAGGCGGTGTCCAGCCGTGTTAGGAGTTGGGGAGCGTGAGCTGACTCATGAGCAACATGGCACACCTAGTGGCATGACCCTTGTCAGAGGCATGCAGCTAAGGTGACCAAAGCGCCACTTTGACTGAACTTTGTGTGCAAGAGACATCCCTGTGGCCGCCGAGCCTTCAACACGAGGGGAGGAGTGCGTTGGGTGTGTTCGACAGGGAGCCGAGTACCACACGAGACCAGGAAAGACAAAGAGACATGAGGCACAGGAGGCTCATAAGATACAATTCGTGGCTGTTGCCTTACCAGGCACGTTGGGGGCTTCAGGGCTTCTAGGGATATGGTTTCAAGAGAGAAGTTACTTCGGAACCTTATCGGCCCTGTCACCTCCCCACTTCCCCCACTTCCCCAGGCTTGGTGTGGGAGAGTTCCGCCTTGCGGTGCATGGCCCCGTCACCAGTGAGATTTCGGATGGCTTCATCCTGCCCAAGGTTCCCGGGCAGTTTTTTTGAAGCGCAGGGTCAGCCTTGGTGTACCCCGCGGATGTCGTAGAACTATCCCTTAAAAGGGAACATCAACAAAATCACTCTCCGGAACTCCAAGAGATTCGGGGCACCCTTGGCAGCTGCCGCGAAAGAGAGCTGCGTGCTCAGCACTGCGACCGGCCAGCCCCACGTATGAAACAGTCTCTAAAAACGGCCGGGTCCCTAACAAGACGTCTGGTCCTATTTGCTCAAGAACCCCGAAAAAATAGAAGACAATAATCCCTAAATTGCCCGTATAAGGAAGAACATGGTCATTGTTTTTGTGAGTTTTTTTTTTTTTTTTTTTGGGGGGGGGGGTTCGTAAGCAAATAGTAGTCAGCGTACTCCTAGCTGTACCCACAACAAGTGCTGCCAGGGCCTGGTGGAAGGCGCGATCCAGTTGGGCGTTGAGCTGCAGGCGCCTCTTCCTGAAGGGTTGGGATGTTCCCCCTTATACTTTCACTCCTTAATGGGGATTTTCATTGGGGGGGTTAAGGATTGTTAGCCTAAGGGGGAACATCCCAACTTTTCTGTAGGCGAAAGAGAGGCCCACACCCTCTGCTGAAACCTGAGACTGCGGCACGGAGGGCGCCTTAGGCACGCGGATCTGAAACAGCCCTAATCAAGGGACGAAAGGAGGGAGGGACCCTTACAAGGGACCTTTAAGGCTACTTAGGTATAAAGGGACTATGTAAGGTGTTTTTTGGGGGGTTTCTAGGGCAATAAGATTCAGGGTCCCCTCTAGGAGCCCCTCCTTATCCTGGGTGGCACCCAGGTGGAGGATGATACCTCCGGGGATGAGCCTGTCGTCTGGCACCCAGGCGGAAGCGAGTTCCGCCCCATTCCTCGAAACTACCCACTTGCTCAGCATCTTCTGTCGAAACGCACCCTGGAAAAAATAGTTCCACGCAACTTGGGGCATCGAACCCTGAATCACTGAAGCCCCCAAACCGCCCTAACCCTCCCCACCCCGCCTTCTCCCCCCCTCGCACGAAAGAAGTTGGAGGCAGCTACAGCTTCGACATCCACCTCTGCCAGGGGGAGTGCGGCCCAGAGCCCAGCATGAAGGGGTATAGGGAGGGACCCCTAGAAGGGACCCCTTAGTCTTATTCCCCTATGCAACCCTTACTGTACCTTGTATTGTCCCGCATGGTCCCTATAGCACGCATTTTGGACAAACCACGTGCTTTGCCCCTCCACTCTGCGGAGCCTCAAAGGCTCCAAGCATGCCGTGCGGGCAAACCGAATCAGGGGTTTAGGGTTTAGGGTCTAGGGGTATCGACCGAAGAACCTTCAAAGAGTTCTGACTTTGCCCGTAAGGCTCGAAGCACCCGCATTCCAAGGCTGGCATGTTTCTGGCTGCATGTCGACTTGGCGATCTGTGCAAACTGTTATGTTTTTGATATTGCTTTGTCCCTCTTCTGTTATATTAGCTATAGTAGTACAAGATTGCATAATGACGCCATTATGCTTTCTTGTGTTCTTCTGCACACATCGCGTTCACCGATCGGCTTAGTGCACCAAGCATTGCATTAATGCGTCTGTGCTCTCTTGGTTATGCTTGTTGTCTGTTACAGTTACATATGTATAACATGCGTCAAGCTGCTTCTCGCGACAGGACTTCGGCAAAGCAACGGGCAACTTTACCTTGAAGGTCCGCAGAGATGGGTTGGATGACTTGTGCCATAGAAGCTGCTATCAACGCAGTACCAGTCGGGAGTTCGTTTGTGTTTAGCTCTTTGCAGCGTGTATCTCACTGATGTGAGACAGCACCCGCATTTGCCTGAGAAGGAAGCGCTCGTGGTGGTGTGAGGCAAGGCGTAGCCTTCCCTTAGAGGTGCTGTCCATGGGACAGCCTTTCCCGCTCTGCCGTGATCTACTTGGGACCACCTGGAGCCCCTGCCAGTTTCTGCGGCGCGATGCAGAGTTTGCACATGCACCAACAGACATCCTCGCAAGATCCATGGTCTGGCTAATGTCGTTTCCCTTGGCTGCGGCTTATGCATCTCTTGCGCCACGCCCAGTTTTGACAACGTGTTTCGGGCTTCATGACATTTGAAGGGGCCCATTGAAGGTTCGCAAGCAATCTTCCTCATGGCAGCAATGAGTCTGGGGCCTATGTGCAACAGCTCTGCCAAGCAGCACCTAATGGATCTAATGAGCTTGGGGGTTGTCAGTAACCTTGGTTTTCGTCATGGCAAGTAGCGCAAGCTCGCGGAAGCACCAGAGACAGCTAGCGAAGGTATTGATCTCAAGATGACTAAAGTGGCAGACGCTAGAGTCCCGAGACCTTGAGCAAGGGTGGGGCCATACACAGGGTACAAAGGCATTCAGACCGGCACTGCAGCTGCGGTTTACGTCCGTTGCTGGTACTAGTCGAACTGCCCCGTGCTCATGCTGCGGCTGCTTGCGCTGGGACGTGACGTTAGGTTTCAGGATCGTAGATGGCCCTGGCTTTGTGAAAAAGGCGCGTGTTCAATCTCACCATCCGCTAAAGAGAAAACCTTGTTGGGGTGTGCGGGGACCCAGGGAGGCCTGTGGGGCAAACCCTACAACCCTCAATAGTGCCAACACGACAAAATGCGACTTTGAAAACTCACGACCTTGTTGCTCCTGATTCCTGCAGTTTTGATGGGCCAATGTTAGCCCGAACAGCCAATCATTGCAAACATGGCTCTGGCCTACTCGGTGCCGGTGGTCGGCTGTGCGAGACCGAGCCAGGACACCGGTGCGGTTGACCGAGAGAACCTGCCGGGACCCCCACTGCTCTGCAGTTTGTCTACGCCTTCGTCCCTTGGTAGCCCAGTGGTACCCTTTTCTTTTTTTTTGGTTCTGGGCATGATAAGAAAAGCATCTTAACAAGTAACCAACCAACAAAAGGTGCCCTTATCATAATATGGTTGCTGGGCTTCTAAGGTCCCCATCCAGCCCATCATTTGGCTGGAGGCCATGGTGTTTTTTAGCAAGCTCCGCGGCGCTGGGCTACCGGTACAAGGCCCGAAGGCACCGCAGGAGGCCCTTTCCTTGCGCGCTGAAGGCCGACTGGGGGCAGACCCCACCCTCTTCGCAGGAAGACGTGGTAGAATCCGACTTCAGCAGTGACGTCGGTGACGTCCTCCCTGGGTCTGAGCTCGAAGCAATGATGAGCGAGCTTCGGGAGCTGGAGGCTTCGAGAACTTCAAAATCCGAATCTGAAGGCACACCTCCGGCTGAGGAGGAGTCCTTGATGGTGGCGCCAGAGGCCGATAGCGCCCAGGTGGAGGAGGTCGACGTCAGGCATCTGGAGCGCAGCGGCCAGGTTGCCGTGCTCGGCGTTCCCAATTCCGGCAAGTCCTCCTTAGTCAACGCCCTCGTGGGCACAAAGGCACTCTGTAGGCACAATTAGGACATTTTTCCATTATCCCTTCTTGGGTTTAAGAAGATCATATACGACATCATTATATAAGTATATTCATACTCTTGTAAATAAATATCTTCATATTCTTATATTTGAATGAGGCGCCATCCTAGGTATCTATTGTCTCCCCGAAGCCGCAGACGACGCGGCAGCGGATCCTTGGCTTGGCCCTACTTGCTCCAACCCCAAATTCGCCGCCCACGACGCAGGCCTTCCGGTAGCTATGGTGAACCCTTCTTTGGTTGCTCATGTTTGTTTTGGGGGTTCTAGGTTCCCCCTTAAGAAGGGTGACCCCTTAAATGTGGCTTAGTCGAAGTCAGGCGGTTTTTGCTGACACGGCCGGAATCATGGAGATTGGCGAGTCAGTTTCAGAGTTTGCCTTCAGGCACAAGAGAAAGCGGCTGTTTCGGCCCACCAAGCTGCACAAGGCCATGGTAAAAACCGCGTGGAAGCAGATCAGGGCCTCGGATGCCCTCATATGGGTCCTGGATGCTTCGAAGTGCCGGGCATATGGTGACTACATGCCTGCGTGTCCCGAGCTGGACGGTGTTTCCATCGGCCCAACTGTGGAGGATTCCTGGTGGCTCCATCCGGAGCTGGCCGAAGAGCTGTCCTTCTTGAGGAGGCTTCGACAGTTGAACACGAAGGTGAACGTGGTACTCAACAAGGTTGACCTCCTTCGCGAGATGAATGCGGATGTGGAGGATTTTGTGGCACAAATGAAAGACGTACTCCTTCGGGACTTGGGTGTCGACAGGAACGGCGAGGTGCTTCTGGAGAACCTGTGGCCAACTTCAGTCCTCAAGGATCCTGACTCCCTCACTCCTCTCAAAGAGTGGCTCTGCGAAAACCTTCCCATGCAGAGTCCGATCTTTCCAGTGGAGAGCCTCAGCGACGTCCCGGCACGAGTGGCAGCTTCCGAGATTACGAGAGAGAAGCTGTTCAATGTTCTGAGGGAAGAGGTTCCCTATCAGATAGCCGTCATCAACGTGGTGTGGCAAGAGGAGAAGGACGGCACCCTCCGACTTGGGCAGCGAGTCATGGTGCACAACGAGGGACAAGTGAACATAGTTCGATCCTGGCTGAGACAGGTCACGGAAGAAGCCGAAGCAGAGATCTCAGAGATTGTGAATCTGGGCAGGCCAGTGGAGCTCCACTTCCAGATCCTGGTTGATCCAAAGTGGCAGGAGAAGGAGGACTACTACCAGGACCTCCAAGGCTTGCTAGACCGAAGTGGCTCCCTCCTCTTTCCACAGTAAAAATTATCCCTCCCTGCTCCTGCTTCCCTATGTTGCAGTAGACTGCGGCCTGGCGGCCGCAGTACCTGCAACTTGTACATATAAGCCCCTCGCCTGCAGAGAATGCGGGGAGGGGGAAGAGAGAGGTGCGGATCCCCAAAACAACAGCAGAACTGTTGGAAGAGAGGGGCCGAGAGCTTGTGGCCACTGCAGGGCTGAGAATCCCCAACAGCGACCCCACGGTACCCAACCCGCACTAAGACGTACCTGCCTGCGAGCATGAGAGTCGAAATCCCATATCCCAGTCCCTCACCACCCCAAAACCCTAACTTCCCCAAGCACTTACATGTCCCAAAACCCCTAAACTCCCCAAAAACCCCGAAGTTCCCCAAACCCTCTGGCAGCAGGGCCGCCGGCCGATGCTTCATGGCAGCTTCATGGCCTGGTCCCACAAGGCGCCCCTCGCTTCTGCTTTTGGGCTGAGGAGCCTCGGCCCCCCCCTTTCGTCTGCTGCAACACCGCAGCGCCCCGTTCACATTTACGTTTTGTGTGTAAGCTTACACTTATATACATATATATTTATAGTGAGTATATGTAACAAGTATATGTGTATATGTGTATATATATATATATATGTATATGGAGGGTTTTCATGAAATGAACGGATGAAATGAATGACATGGAGGATTAAAATGAATGAAATCAATGAATCAACGAATGACTATTTACGACTGCGCTACATATTCACGATGTGGCACGGCTTTCAGGGTCTAGAAGAGGGTTTCGAAATGTTCTCCATGGGGGAGGAGGATGACCCTTGGCGCAAGATGAAAGCTGCAGATGGCAGCGTCCTCTAGGGGAAGTGTGTGGCTTGCCTCCTGTTTTCTAGAACACGTCGGGTGCAACACTGGCCAAACTTACAGCGCATAAGGAAAACCGCGCCTATCCCGGGACAACCGGCAGTTTCTCGCTAGCCTCTCGCACCTGATGCGCTTTTGCATAAGGTGAGGGGCGGGGGGGGCGGTAGGGTCAAAGAAAGCACCCTAAAGCAGAAACAGCCATCCCAAGCCCTCAATGCTACAGGCCGCTTAAGGGAGTCCCGTGCCTTCACAGAGATGGGGCTCCACCCCCTCCTCTTGGAGCGTGGGCTGACAGGTGGCCTTCAAGAAGAGCGAGGTGAAGCGACGCGAGGACCTGCGTGGTGTCCTCCATGGCTCTGTTGCATGTTTGGTGCGGTTCTGGCATGTTATCGTTTTTGATGTTGCCTTTTTGAGGCCTCGGTGCTGCGGAGGGATGGCAGCTGAAGTGCATGTTTTTAGGCAAAACTCCCCGCGACATGGCAAAAGCTACAGATCGAGGTGGAAGGTTTCAGCTGCGCAGCAACTTGCATCCCCCATGTTGGCAAGGATGAGGTTCGCTTCAGCTACCTCCAGTCCATCTATCGGGCTTGGGCCACGCTGGCAGCGGTGGGGTGGCCCAGATCTAGGAGACAGATGCGGAACAGCAGAAGTCGTTCCCTCGCGGCCCCCGCAGACAAGACACTGCACGACATAGTCTGTGGTCTTTCTCGCTTCTCTACTAAGGTAGTTACATAGAGTATGGGCCCCTAGGATTTATAGGGAATATAAGGGGTATCAAGGGACCATGTAACTACCCCAGTTTCTCCTTGTAGTCTGCAGCCCAAGAAGCACCCAACACTCTCAAGGCTCAATCGGCGCAAAGCCACCCTTAGGTGAAGAGCACAAGTAAGGAGGCCAAGAAGGAGCATGGCAAAGGCACATATTTCATCTTAAAGCTTGTACATCATGGATGCGTGGTATCCTACGTCAAACATGGGTATATTAAAGATATGTATATATATATGTATAGAGATCTATATATATATATATATTAATTATACATATCTCACAGAAGAAGCCCCCCCCTTCGACCGGAACTCCGCAAGAAGCTCCGAAGGCCGGCCACCAGGCCAAGGAGTTGGAGCGTGAGAAGGAGAAGCCGATGCCATGGGTTTAGGGTTTAGGGTTTTAGGGTTTTAGGGTTTAGGGTTTGGGGTTTAGGGTTGTCTCCTCGATTTGGGTTTACGGAAATAGGGGATCCCCAATATCGACCCCCCCCCAACATGGCAAGATTCCCTTATAGCAGGGACCCCATAAGGTACCCCTGATTTCGGAAGCCTTCATTGAGGGGCACTTTAGGGGGCTTTAGGAGTTAGGGAAGTCATTGTTGTATGAAGGTCACGGGGGATGTAGGTTCAGGACTGCCTTTCTGCGAGGTTCAGTTAGGCGGCGTAGTGTCTATGAGGCCTGCGGCCGCGTTACCGTAATTTCAACCTGGGAGGTTAAGTTGGGATGCTGGGGTTTTGGAAGGAAGCAAAGACGCGACTTTGGCTTCAGCCTGCACGGGTAGTCAGAAAGTACTGAGTAGACAGTGCGCCCACGGCCTGAATTCAGTTTGCTTCGACTGAACGTGGCAGGAGAGGCTGCAGAAGGAGCAGGACCCCACATCCTGACTTTTTGGCTGCATTCCATGCTGGCAGCCCCATGTGTTCTGCACTCTTTTGGTTTGGCGGGATCTTTTGCCCGGCATTGCAACACGAGTGGTGACGAGTACCCCGCTACCTGGGGGCCAAAGCAAAAACTCCACCCCCTTTGCGGAGTCTAGAGGTGGAAGCTGAATGATGCAGACACCGCCCTACTCCGAAAGCGTGCTGCCACAGGAAGAGCTGAGGAAGCAGCTGGAGGACCACCGTGCCCGCCCAAAACCCACAGCAGCCCTGGTGTTGGTAGGTATCAATTTTCTTCTTCAATATCCTACAAATATTACCCCCTTTATTTTGCCATACCTGTCCATCCTTATTTCCCACAATTCCTAGTCCAAATTCTTTAACATCCTGTAAATGTTCATCCGCATAATGAATAAAAGTACACACCTAATCCTTTAACATCCTGCAACTGTTCATTCTCATAATGAATAAAATACACACCTAATCCTTTAACATCCCATAAACATGCATCCTCACAATGAGTATAGTACACACCTAGCTGCCTGCAAAGGGAGAAGGGGGGGGGCCCTCCAGGAGCAACGGGCCAAGCAAGCCAAGCTGAGCCTCGGCGTGCTGGGCTTCGCGGAGAGCCAGGCCGATCTGGCGTTGCGTTTAAGGGTTTCGGGGCTGAGGGTTTAGGGGTTTGAGGTTTAGGGGTTTAAGGTTTAGGTTTAAGGTCAAGGGTTTCGGGGCTGAGGGTTTAAGGCGTTTAAGGTTTAGGGTTAGGGCTACACAGGGAGCCTGTGCTTGGGCAGTTTCTGGCAGCACCCATGGGAGTCCGGATGCAAAAGGGTTTAGGTCTATTTGAAGAGGGCATCTTGGTATGCAGAGGAGGGAACAGGGGGGCTGTATGGTTTTATGGTTATGGTAACGTGGTATTATGGCACTTTGAGCCATTTGAGGCACAGGGATTTTGGGGTTTCGAGTTCACTTGGGGCCTCCTAAGATTCACTTGGAACTCCTCTTAGAGTTCTATGTGCCCTAAATACGAGCCCGTGACTCAAAGTTGCTTTCTGGGGGTTCAGGATTCGGGGGCATTAAAGGAGAACGAGCCTCGCAAGTGGCAGGACCAGCACGTCATTCTTGGCCCGGAGCTCAATCTGCCCACAGGGGGAGTTTGAAGCCTATATAAGCTTGCAGCAAAGTCTCAAGTAATAATCAACTCTTTCTCATACTAGCTACGAAAAATCATGTTGGAGTACTCTTGCGCCCCAGCAGCCTGGCTATCCAAGCACGAACTGAGCAGGGTGGTGACGCTATTCCTGCCCTGCAAAGCAGGCATCTTAAACCTCCTCACAGCTCCACGGGATCCACTGAGGCGTGGCCTGGGCTGCCTGGAAAGAGCTCTGGCGCGAGAGCAGGCGCCGCATCCGGCCGCTGTTAGTTCAGGACCCCTTGCAGCGCCCCCCCTTCTTCAAAAAAAGTTCATCTGCGCCGTGAAACGGCTGCTGTTCCACCAACAGAGAGTCACTCAAATAGATTGGCCCTAAACACCCGTAAGCTTTCAACCCCTAAACTCACAGGACCCTTGGACCCCAAGGTTGTCCCCTTGGGTTTGGGGGCCCATTTTCAAGATCCTCTAAGTAGATTCAGGGAGCCTCTTAGGGGGTACAACCTTTGGCGTACGAGCCTTAACCCCTTCATCAAACTTCTGTACCCCTTGCAGGCAGCTCCAGGAGTGCGAGGGGGCCTGGACTTTTGACTCCAGCTGCGGCTTGGGGGGCTTCGGGTTGAGGTGCCCCCCTCCCCCTCCGCCTCCCCTTTCTTTGGTGTAAAAGTAGGGTTCAGTGGTTAGATTTTTGATCGGAAGATGTCAGCGAGTCAGCCCGGCACAGAATCCCAGGGAGCCTCTTGATTTTCTGCATCTACATTCAGAACTCTAAAGATGTGCCAACTTCATCTTCCTCCAGTCCATATGGGCCGACATACTTCTAATCTTACTGCACGAAAAACGATGCCCACCCTCAATGAATCGGCCCGTACAGTACGTGCAGACACATTCCTCATGCAGGCTTCACCAAAGCAGGCGAAAAGCTCGTTTGAATAGATGCATGGAGTCTACAAGGGGGCTGCCATACCCTCGTGTGAAGCAACCAACACCTTTTGCGAAGGATTAGCCCGGATATGTGGACAACCAAGGCAAATAGAGTGCGCACGACTCATGACAACAAGCTCGTGCGTCATGCCATCAGGGGTACTTTGAAACGTCTAGAATGCTTTGTCAGGAGGACACTACGAAGTGTTGATTCGGTGGCAGCTTGTGCCAATGCGAGGTTCTAGCAGCTTAACCGTAACCGTCAGGGGCACAGGAATCCAGCTCATATGGCAAAAGCTATCTGTTAGAGTGCGTCCCCAAAAGGGTTTCGCTAGCGATCCTCCGCTCCGAGATGACGCCGAGCGGCAGCAGTGGCAGCGCGAGTTCGAGGACGGGGCTCCAAAAGCTTACGGATGTTTTGTCAGCTTGAGCCCCGTTCTCCAGATCATGTTCCCATGCAGGGCCTCTTACAGGACATCACTACACGTACATCCAGCCACGTTGCTTCGGTGATCTTGCAGGACCGACAAAAAGCGGAAAGGCAAAGCCTGAGGCCACTCCAGACGTGATTCAGAATAGTTGTTTCAACATTGATATTGCCAATCTAGTGATCTTAGTAATGAAAGCAGCACGAATATTGATTCCTTGGCGCTTTCGGTAGCCGTTCGCTGTCTGTTGGGCCACTTCTCCGCAGTCGAACATAGACATGTGCTGGGCTTCAGGGCGTCTTCAGATTCCCTTGAGACCACTTGACTGTAGCTTTGTTGGCTCAACCCCTCGGCAACCCACATGGCCACAAGCATGCAGCCCACTGAATTACGCGCTTGGTCCAGACAAGCCCGCGGCGCCGAAAACCTGGAAAAGCTACAACTCACAACCCTGAACCCTGAGATTACAACACATTGCCTCCCCTGCATGGGCGGCCAAGCGTGGGCAATGGGACGCCTGGCCCAGAGATGCCTATCCATGGGAGATCTCACCCAAATATATATATATATATGTATATACATATATATATATATGCATACATGTGTATGTATGCTTCCCCCCCCCCACAGTGATATGCATATGTATATACATATATATATATATATATGTATATGTTTATAAAGAAAGTCTGGATATTTGGGTTTGTGCAATTCAAGTTGCACAGGCTTTCAGAAAAGCACCAAATTCGCTTAACAAAACACAAATGTTTACTTTTTCCTTCCGAACTTTTGCGCGCTTTTGTTGACTAGGTGCGTGTTTTTTGCAATCCCAGGCATCAATTTGCACAAGTCCAAAAACCCAAGCCTCGCCTGCTGCGCCCGCGATACGCGCACGTTCTTTCTCGAGCAGTGGTGGCATGTTGGAGAATCCTACTTGTTCCACAGCGCGGGTGTGGGCGCAGATTTCTCGGGTGCTTTTGGCTTCGTGGATGGTGTCGAATCGCGCTTTCGCCTAGGCCCCGTGCACATTATGTCGTGCTCTGCTGCTGGAGCTGCTGGAGCTGCTCGTCATCTTGTTCCTCTGGAAAGATTGACATGCTCGTCGAGTCCCCCCCCTTCGGTCTTTCACTGTTTGGGGGCTATGCTGGCATCATTTGGGATTTCTGGAATTTGGGACGTTTGGAACTTGGGTTTCTGTGGAAGAGCAAAAGAGGCTTGGTGGAGGAAGGAAAAGAAATGACTTCCAACAAAGCATAAATTGCACTAGAAAGTAAACATCTCCTCCCAACCAAAAAGCAATTCTTCTCTCCGTGCAGAAATGCGTAAGATACGTTCAGGCTAACAGGGGCTCAAACCGTTCGTTCTCCTTCACATGTGTGACATACAGTAAACCAATACTTTAAAAAATTCTTTTACTTCGAACATCCCCACCCTCTCTGATTAGAGATAATCTGGACTCGAGGGACACTCTGGGGTTGGGCACTCCAGGGGCACGGGCTCTCCGGGAACGCTGTGGGGTTGACACCTGGGTTTGGGCAATTCAGGGACACTCAATCCAAGGACGCTCTGGGTTGGGCACTCGAGGGATGAGCGAGGAGGAGGAGTAGACCGGGCAAGGAGAAGAGTTCCAGGCGACGAGAAGAGTTGAGTTTAAAGGCACCATTGGTTTTCAAGTGGCCTGGGGGGGATTGACTCCTCGAAGCGAATAGCGGGAAAAGGGTGCGTGTCATGGGGGGGGGGGGGGGGTGACAATATATACATATGTATGTATGTATGTATGTATGTATGTATGTATGTATGTATGTATGTATGTATGTATGTATGTATGTATGTCTATATGTATATTTGTCAAATCTTTGGGGGCTTCCGAAATTGAAGCGGTCCTTTCGAAGAGAAGGTTCCGCGGCATCTGCGGGTCCCCAACATCCTGACAGTTTCTTGAGGCTTCCGGCACTAGTTTGTCTTGAGGGCGGAAAGTATCGCGGCTCCTGGCTGTCCTAGCTACTGTATTTTTCTCACTGTACATATATACACATATATACATATATTTATATATATATATGTGTATATATACATATATATATCTATTTTTTCGTATCCTTGTCATAAGGGGGGTCAACATTTCGAGTGACAGGCACCACCTCCTGAGCCACAAGCTTTTCTTTCGAGAACCTGAGAGAGAGAGAGAGAGAGAGAGAGAGAGAGAGAAAAGTTGTTGTTGGCCTGTTGTGCTATTTGTGCCCCAGAATCCGAGGACGATGAACCTCCTCGCGCTGCCCCTGGAGCGTGACCAGATCTTCTCCATCAAGCGGCGCTTCCCTGGCTTTTCAGGGAAGGCGCCAAGCTTGCGACGACCGGCTTCAGGGTGTCAGTGGAATTGCCGACACTTGCTTTTTCGCTTGCATTTCACACGCTCTCTCCCACAAGGATGTGCGGATTTATGCCAGAGTTCCTTCATTGATAGTTGGCGGGCTCATCATGCCTAACGGTTTCGACACGGCGCAGGTCCCAGAAGAGGCGGCTTTTTGGTCCGAGGCGGATCTCGAAGCCTACTTTGGCAGCAATGGCCGGGCGCTCACTGCGAAGCCAAGTTTTGCAGGAAGCCTTCTGGGCCAAAGCCGCATCAACATCTCAGAAGAAGACAGAACTCGTCAAGTATGATTATTGTCGGCGGCAGGGGTTGCACAAGTGGCCATTCCGTGATTTCAATAAACCTGCATGTCAGTCACAAGTGCACACAGTTCCTCCATTCGGTAGCGAGCACAGAATATGGATTAGCATATGTAAGATGAGAGCTGCTGAGCGGCATGCCAAACATCTGCTTCTCAGACCTGGCCCCAGCAAAACAATTCACGTTGGATTTGGATTTGGCCTGCGGAGAAGGAAGCTTTCCCCAGAAGCCAATGCTCACCGGAACACAACGTGAGGCCACACTGGTGAAAACTATAGGGTGCTTGTCCGAATATAATAGGACTTCGAAACAAGAGAATGCAAAAGGCAAAAGGCTTCTCAAGGTTCATTTCAAAAGCCAGCACCGCACCCTGGAGCCTCCAGGTCAGAAGAGACCGTGGCTCGGCTGCTTTGGACAGGGGCATTAACCCAAGTCTGCCTTGACCCTACCTCCAGTCTCCAGCACGAAACAGTCAAACACCTTACGCAGTTGCCACGGTGCTGCGGAGGCGAGAGACATCGAGACCAGGGACGGAAACCTGCTCGCTCCTCTCACGAGTCAGGCCTGCGGGGGTTTGTATTGCAAACTTTTCAGCAAGGCCGACACCCAGGTAAGCAGCAGTGAAAGGTGCGCAGAGCGGTGTTCTAGTTGCCTGGGCTGAAATCTTCATCTCGGCAGCTGACCTGGTCTCAGCCCTGCTAAGGGTTTCAAAGCCGTAGTTAGCAGGTGCCGAAGTCTGCTGCATGGGGCACCTTTCAAGTCTATAAACTAGACTTCCATTCAACAGAGGAACTCTGCGTGTGAGAACCCTCAATGCCTCTTGGCCCAAAATGAAAGCCAAGTATCCTTGCACAGCGTGGGCGGACCTGCAATACCTCTGATGCGCTCACTCTAGCCAGTGCTGCCTCTCCGTATCTAGTGCATCGTGAGAAGAGGATCAAGCACAAGCGCCATCGCGCCAGATGCCAAATGCTACAAATTCCCGTTGTCATCTACAGTCACTAGCCCGATCCGCATCCAGACTCTCCTGAGAAGCTGTTGCATTTGAAACTCCCTTGTGGGAACTTTGCAACCCCTTGCAATGCTGACCTTGCCGTGAAGAAGTGAAGTAACCCTTCAGTCGTCGGTTGCCATGGCTCTTGACGGTATAGCCCACGATGACGTCAAAACGCTGATGGGGTTTGCACACTTCAGGGGTCGCACAGCTGGCTGGTACGAGTTGGGCACCCTCGTGGATTTAAAGAAGCTCCGGCTTTGGCGCTCTTTCCTCTTCAATATCCGCGGTTGTCGGAGCTTGGGGCAGAGACTTCGGCAGCAAATCCTGAGCACCGGGGGAGGTGTAGGACTCGAAGTGTCGTCAGCCTGGCGCTTCTCACCTTTGCACCATCATCCCCACCCTGCGTGGACCCAGAACTCTTTTGAAGCCCTCCATGAAAAACGAAAAGGATACTTTAAACTTCCCATCCGCATTCCCAGAGACCCAGGGCCTATAGAAACAGCTTGTCGCAGGCTGGAGCTGGCCAAGAAGAAGGTCGACGAACCGACCATTGAGTATGCCACCTGTTGTGCAATCGCAAAGTGTATGGGAGAAGCAGAAAACAACTGCATGCTTACGTGTGGTAAGATAAATTGTATATATATGTATATGTATATATATATATACATATGCTCGTGAAAGACATCATGTTTTTGTTGTTTATCTGTTATTATTTTGTTTGTCGATTTTCCTGCTTCCATATCTAGGCACACACATTGTCCACGATGGCCAGCTTGGCCTACTGTTTTCAAGCCCGGCTTCGACGATGCTTGCTGGACTTTTCCTAAAGCACAGGTTGCGCTCTGTTGCTCTACTTGGAGGTTCATGGAACTTCTTAACCAATTATAACTAGACTTATACTTACAAGTACAGTTATAACTGGTTAATAAGTACCATGAGCCTCCAAGTATCCCCTGGCTTGAGACATGGCTTGCCTCTCGCGAAAGGAATTCTTGCCAGAAAACTTCAAAAGATTTGGGGCCTTGCTAACCCTGCCGGCCCCGACCAACGGGCGTTCTAGCAGGCTCGTTGGAAGGGAGCTGCTACAAACGCGCATACCAAAAATGAATGGGCTTGCGAGTGCCAAAGAATCAGGCACAGACAGCACCGGTACGCACCGGTATGTACGGTAAATTAGGGGTGATGGCACAAAAACTTGAGCACGCATCCACAAAGGCCGCCTTCTGCCGTCATCTGCAGAGTCTGCGAGAGGACTGGTACAGGACGGGGTTTCAGGGTTTACGACGTTGACGGTTCAGCCACGGTGTCGCCATTGCAGGGGGTTTCGCAATACAGAGGTCTGAGATGCGAACCCCACAAGAAGCCTCAGCATATTTCTTTGCCTGCGTCTTGCTAGGAAGTGCTGCGTCCCTCTCATACGACGCCTCGAAGAATAAAAGTGCGGCCGAGGATGCAGAAGATGCGAATCTCAGACCCACAACACCCGAGAAAGCCAACAAACCAATACAATCATCTATGGCCCCAGGCAGTGCCCCGGCTTGTTGAATTTGCACAAGGTGCCTCCAGCCAACACGGTCTGGGCTTTTGGGGTGGGTGCAGGAATGTGAAGCTGGCGAGTGTGGCAGACTGCCCCTGGGCTCTCTTAGATGGGAACGAAAGAAATGGGACAAAATAGTTTTCCCTACTTTACTACACAAAGGGGGGAAATGTGTTTTTCCCTGTTGTTTAGTGTTCGCAGCTCTTGCTTTCTGCAGATGTAGATGAAAATGCACGACAGCATGGTGATGAAGATGATTAGCAACCCGCAAACACGACAACACCCTAGATTGGGGGTAAGATGGCAGAGACATGACTTAGGCTGCGAAGTGCAGCGCATCCGAAGTCTGGAGGGTGTTGCGCTGGAAGCGCCGGTCCTGCTCGAGAAGCAGCGCGGCCCGGCCCAAGGAATTCGTATTGCATGCTTGTTACTTTGTGGCATGATATGTACATATGTTCATGCATATACGCGTTTGTTTACTATGCAGGTGTGCCGACATTGTTTGGGAACCAGGCTTAATGGCAGAGCATCTAAAGAAACACAGGAGCCTGGGTATGTCTTTGCACACTTGTGCCTCGTGTCTCTGATGTTACACTTTCTTCACAGGTCCCAAACACGCACTCCCTCAAATCAACTTGCAAGCTTGCATGAGTTGAGTAGCGGCCTGCACAAACGAAGAAAACACATAGCAACAATGCTGCTGATCGCAGCAAGGTGAGTTGCATTTAATCAGCCGCGTTTCTTTCCGGGCATCAAAGCTGGTTGAGTTGTTTGTTGCTTGTAGCTGTGGATCCTGCAAGCTTGCAGCTTGCAGTTCATTTCTACATCTGTCACCGAACTTGGGGTCTCAAAGTTTACCTCCAATGTTTCTGAAGTTTAGGGTCTAGGAGTCTAGGGTATGTCTACGTTTCAAGAGCTTAAGACCTCCCACTGGTACCAAGGCGACTGGTACGCCCGGTTCTGGAATCTCGAGTTCTTCAAGAGGGACTGCGGCCACGACTACTGGCTTCTTAGCCTGAGTGTAGAGGTTGACAAAGTCGCATGCACGTGCACACACACACACACGACTTGCAGGCCTCATAGAAACTGAGCTTGAGCAACTGCAAGCAACTCCTCAAGGACTGTATGTAGCTGCAATGATCAGAAGGTTCAACAGTTGCACGTGCACTCTTAGGCTTGGGGCCAAAGCCTCCTTGATTAAAGCTCGGAAAGTACACTTAAAACTGAGGTTCTGCCGGCCACAGTTTCCAGCCTTTGCTGCTTGGCCTTGTAGCCTTCCATCTTGTGGTAACTTGCATGCCTTTCCTGAGCTACAATAACAAAATGAGCCGTGTTCTCCACTTCAATCTCAGAGAAGGATCGCTCAGGCTGCATCGTGACCACCCGCAGATAAACGAAGGGGTGATAGGGCGCAGCAGGTCCACTAAACGTTCGCAGGATGCGGAGGTTGCCCCAAATCCTCCCCACTGATGGATCACCTGACCACGCACCGAACTTCTTGGAAGCGGGCCGCTGCTCCAAAAGGCCCAAGACCCGATGAGCACCGCACGAAGGTTGTCCGAAAGCAAGTTTCTAGAGCTTGGCCACAGATGCGCAGATACGTAGCGGCAACAGGGTGTTGATGGGCAGATGATGCCCCAGAAGAGCTCTGGTGGCGGGGGGGTGGGGGTGATGGGGGGATGTTGGTTTCCCCTAAAACACCCCGAGCACTTGAGCCCGCATCCTGTTTGTCACGAGCAGCACTGCGTGGCTGTCGGGCGGTTCTCAAGTTGTGGAGTGCCCGAGGAGACTGACGAAGCAGCTGCTTGGATGGTGTTGGGAAGTGTTGGTGGTGTGGCCATGGTTTGGGACATCGATGAAGCTACTCTCAACCTGTCGTATCGTCGAAATGCTATACAAGCCCTTGGAGGGTGAAGGGAAGCCAATCCGTGTTCCCTCGGACATCTGAAGCCAAGCATTTCGCAGGCCATAGACCAGCTGGTGCTCCACACCAACATTTCAGATTTTGCGACCCGGCAGATGAGCACTCTCTCTCTCTCTCTCCCTTTTCTTGATTTATTTCTCTTTGGAATTTCGACGGAGGCAGCAGGTCCAGGATCCCTGCAGCTGAAGCCAAGTCAGGTCGAGTTCACTCGAACACTGCAGCGCATGGATCGGAAATGCGACCAGGACTGCCGCACCCGCACTTCCCCCGCAATCTTCTCAAGGCGGTTTAAGGTGAAGCCTCCGATCTTCCAACATCGGGCTTTGGCCTTTTTTGGGGGCAATTTTGGGCTCTGGGTGTTCACGTGCATGGTGAGGAGAAAGGCATTGCCTTTCCGCGGCTGATTCTGGATGGCTATGCGCCCTTCTTTGGTGTTCTGAGGCCGGGTAGCTTCCGAGGGTCTTAGGCACCAGCTAGGACGCAGCGGATGTGCCGAAAGATCAACACACAGACCCCAAGACGTCCACAAGCATGATACAACTCGACTTGGCTTTGTCGGAGAGTTGTGTTGGAGAGTTCTTCCTTAGATCGAAAGGTTCTTTGAGTTTTGCCGAGGAAGTTTTTCGATGAATGCTGGACGAAGCTGGGCCCAGATGGCCTACCCGACCTCACCCCGAGGCCGGGTTCAAAGAGTTCTCAACGAGCTTAGGGTTCAAAGAGACATATGAGAGAGACTACGAGGAGATAAGCATCTTCAGTCCTTGCCCTTGAGGTTGGCACATGCCTTCGCACACGCCTTCGACTTGCAGGACCAGCAGATGCATCAAGAATTGAGGGGGAAGTGCCCTTAGGCAGCCTGCAAAGGCGAGGGTTCAGCCTCGCAGAGTTCTGAATTCCAAGCTCAAGTCTACAGCCGGTTCAAAGTGCGAGCTCTGATGAAGTACCCATCGGCGCAGGATCCGATGGAGACACTCTCGAGGTTCTACAAGGCCTAAACGCTTTTTTCAATGCTTCCCAGCCATCGCCAGGAATAGGTACAAGTTACAAGTACTACCAGCTGACATGACCTCTCCCTCAAGGAAACAGGGCCTGTGTTTGAGCTCGACGAGTTGCAAGAGCACAGAATCAACAAAGGGTGTGTCAGGTGGCTGTGAAGTCGCACAACCATGCCTCGTAAACACCTCCGAGCCAACATGTGAAGCAGTCCCACCCCCGACCTGTTCAGAGAATTCAGGGTTTAGGGTTGAGGGTGCCCACCCCCCCACCCGTTCAGAGCTGCCTTGCGCGTGGAGGTCACATTAGCGGCCACGGGCTCAATCACCCGGCTCCATGTTTCTCGGCTTCCCGCACAAGGTCACCCTGCCTTCTCATCTAGCGACTGCAGTGTTTGCCGAAGAGCTACGCTTAGTTGAGAGGCCTCGCCCTTGCCGCACGAGGTGGATGTTGGGTTGCTTTTGAGGAGGTGACAGCTGGGCTGGGGTTGCTTTTGCAAGACCCGAGGTAGAGAATGCTGGCGCCCATCTGTGGTTCAACCAGATCGAGGGAAGACGGGTGCGCCTTAGTCTGCAATAAGAGTTACATCCCGGATGCCTTCAACACAACGTCTGGGATGCTCACAGCTGCCTCCAAGCCAGAACAACCTCCGGGCTCTTGCCCTAGCAGCCCCCTGCGACATTAATGTATGGCATCCCCTGCATGATGGAGGCCAAGACCTTGAGTGACGTCACAACCGCTCCTAAAGGCCCCAGCTCCAAGGTTCTTCTTGTTTCCCCCGTCGGAGTCGCGGAAGCTGTACGAAGAGACAGGCGGGCCCATGCAGGCAGGGACAGCCATCCAAAGGTCACCGGGAGCTGCAGGTCGAACGGCAGCCCGAACCCCCCCTCTTGAAGAAGCATACTAAGATGCCCTGAAAATGTCGAAATAATGCCAGATTCGCCTTCCTTAAATGTGAAAAGGGGATTCTGGGCTCTGTGGGAAGGGGCTGCTGCAGGGCAGCCCATGTGAGGCCGTCCCCGAATGCCCCGAAAAGTGCCAGGAGACCAGTGGATTTGCCACACGCGTCAGCGGTGCAGCCTGGGCTGAAAAAAGCAAGGGGTGGAATGCGTTTGGAGATGTGGGCTGAAGAGCGTTGGGTCGAAGGGTTCTTGCAGCATTGTCTTGCCACTCTGCTTGGAAGGCATCCAGCCATTGAGTTGCTGAATCCCTATGCAGCCCTACTCGGCACAGTGCTGCCCAAGTTCCCCCGCAACATGGCATCTCGCTGAGGTCGACCTGTTCGCCCCGAGCGCCAAGCGCCACCCGCTCTTTGCTGAGGCGCGATGCCAGGCCCGGCACTGCTGTGCAGAGTTGAGCCTCCTGCCGTGGGGGGGGCGGGGGGGGTTCCGAAACTAGGGGTACCTTGTTGGGGTCCTTATTAGAAGGGAATCCTACTATTTGGGGGTCTTATATTAGCCGTCCCCAATTTTTCGTAAACCCCCCATGTAGATTTGGGGGTTTTTCTGTTCAAGCTGTTCTTCCTCTCTCGAGGTGGCCGTGCTGTACCTCGGCCAGACCCTTGCATCTCGGCGAAAGCCAGCACCCCTTCATGGATCGAGAGAGCTGTTCAAACGTAAGAAGAAGACGGCGCCTGTAACTCGAACTGGTATTGCATGTATCTTGCACATTTCACACCCAATATATGGTGAACAGCATTTCTCGACAAAAGGGGAACTGCAAAGAGCGGGCCCTCTAGCAGGCATCTTTCTATTTGCCAATGGGCAGCCAAAAAGAGGTCATCCCCTCGGGATGGTGGTGGTACTCCGTCAGCTTGGATCCTTCCGTCACGCCCCACGTCGCAAGGATTTCCAACGGTTCGATGAAACTCCGGCTTTACTTGGGGACCTTCTAAGCTGCACATGTGCACGTTGGGCAGAGAGCTCTGACAGTTTCTGGCCCCGTCTAGGAGTCTAGGCCCAGACCGGTACATGCGACACATCTGAGGCTGTGGCACCAGTTCTGGACTGAGGAAAACAAGAGCCAGTTTCCTGAAATCGCCTGGGAATACTTCAACTATCAGCCACCTGGCCCGATTGGCACGTTGCCGCTTGGGTTCTGAAAGCCCTCTCCTCGCGCGGGTAGTCCCGGAGATTCAAACAGGATGACCTGGATGACCACGGGATTAACTCCTCAACCATCAGATGCCCCAAATGGCGAGTAGTAGCTCACACAGTGCCCCTCCCAAAGCACAAACCGGCCTGGTCCAGTGGGACCCCCCTGGGCAAGAGGAAGATGACCCCGGAGTTCTGGGCCGCACTGCCACGGAAAGTCGACCGCCTGCGAGCTGCTCGTCTCAGTGTTTCCAGGCGTCGTTCGGCTCTCTATAGTACGGGTATAGGCAAAGATTGCGAGTGGCAAGCCAAAGCTTGAGAAGTACATCAGTCCCATCGAAACACGCTGAGGAGAAGATCGCAGAGGAGGAGTAGAGATGCGATGCGAACGGAGCATGTTGTGCCTGCTGCACGGCAGCTAGACACATTGCTCGACCCAACTGTTTAGTTCAAGTCTTGCGGCTCGTTCATTGCGTGCCAGCTGCGCAAGAGGCGTTGATTGGGCTAGGGATCATCGTGGATTCACCGGGTTTGGAAAGCTACTGAAGTGGCCTGAAGATGCCCATGGCAGTCAGAAGACGTACCCACGCCGAAGCCTCGGGTCTGGGCCCAAAGCCCTGACGACCCTTTGAGCGCAGCAGGGCCCAAAAGAAGTGAACTCATGTCAGATCTACATGTTCATGCTGATGTTTTCAGGGCTTGGGCCCGAAAAGTCCAGGGTGCGTATCGGACGACATGTCCCTCCCCACCTCTGAAGCACGTAGTATCACGAACCCAGACTAGCGATGTATCCCTTAACCTCAACGCCACTCAATCACTCGCCAGGTACCGAGCTTCTTTGATTGCCATGAAGGCCCGCAACAGCTTGCACTGCCATGAACTGCCGGCACTTTCACCCGGGTCACGTTTTCCTTACTATACTCCCGTAAAGGGTGATGCAGGGGTATAAAAATTCCTGAATTCTCTGCTAAGAACTGGAAACCCGAAGTACAGACGCCCGAGTCCACACTTGATTCCTTGGAATTATGTTTTCTTTGGGTTTTCCCCAGCTGATTCACAAATCCAACATTGGGGCATCCTTTTGTTAATGCTGTCATTATGAAACTGAGGGGTGTAGGTTTAAGGAGGGCCCCCCCGTTTTTTCTGCCAATAGCCTCCTAGCCTGCAGGGGTACACCCCTCTGCTGGTCAGGCGGAGAAGGAGCTCCTGATGCCCATTCTGTGGCCGCAGCCTTGAGCGTGTCGTGGGCGATGCAAGCGCAAGAGGCTTCGGGCTTGTGGTCTCACACATCATGCCAGGGAACCACAGCGTCGTCAACACCCCATGAGGCTCCAAGCCTCATCTGCTCAAGGAAGGGCAATGCCGCCTCCGTGAGCCAGATAATGGATACTCGGACAGTCATGTATGTGTGTGTTCAGGCCACGTCAGTACATGTGTCTTGTGTATGTGAAACCAGGTTAGCAATGAACTTGCCAGGCCTTTGAACCTCAACCCAAAGACTTCCACCACACCTCAGCTCTTCATACGACCGTTGCGAAAACCATTGACAACATCCAAAGAAGAAGTTCGGCCATGGCACCTCTCGCCCTGGGGCGCTGGTCCTTGACCATGGCCTTCGCGCTTTGCCTCAGCAGGCACTGAGAGCGCAGAGAGCAGATAGCTTGCACACATAACTTCTTGGGATGGTGCCCAAAAGCAAACATGTTGGCACTTCTCAAAGAGTGCGGCCCGGAGCATGTCTTTGTGTTTCAGCGCCGGCCGTTGTACTCGGATTTCGAGGTCGCTGGACGCCAGCTCTTCTTGTGTCCATCTCCCCAAAAGAGAGACACCTCGGTCGACTTGACCATGTCATTTTACGGACCCAAGTTCCAGCACCATTACATGCAGCCGCTCTCGCAGGCTGGCAGATGCAAAGGCGATGGCCGCTGCAAACAGTGCATAGGTTCTGGGCCGGAGACTTGCGGAAATCCTGACCATGGACAGGATGCCAAAAAGTGCAAAGGGTCTAATTTGGTTGGTACAGTTTGGAGAGGATGCGGGCAGGGTTGGAACAGGCTTCAGACTGCGGAGCTGCCTAACAGTCGGAGCAGGTATCGTGTGGTGGCCACGATGCACCGACTTGCAACTCGGAAGCAAAGCCCCTTTGGATGATCCCGAGGCCCCAAGCGATGCCGTGGGTTTTGTTTTGGAAGGGGTCGAGTCATCAAAACACACCTGGGTTCGGGCAGTCCGGGATTCGAACCATCGACAGCTTCATACGTTGTCTAACAGCTAAGCAGTCGACACCTCCGGCTCTTCTTGAAGTAAGCCAGGATGCCAACAAACAAACAATCTTTGCAAAGAGATGCTCTGGCTTGGCAAGACGCACAAAATCTCACCTTCATGGATCCTCGAAGGCCCCAGAACCCCTTGCATTTTGTGGACGAGACTAGGAGGGGTGCTTGTTTTAAGGCACCGAGTGCCCGGGCGACCATGGCCAAAGCTGGTGCCACGGGGAGTGCAGCTGGCAGGCCTTACCCTCCTTGTAGGTCGTTCTATATTCGGGCCGATAAGGGTGCCTTTTGGGGGCTCCTTCAAGCGTGACGTATTGTACATAGGACCCGAAAAGGGCCCCAGTTTACACAACTACCCTTGTGGTGAGCTCTCACGTGTCTGGAAACCTTTGTCGTAACATTCGTAGCTTCCTAGCGCGCAGTTCCTGGGGGCGTCTTGCAGAGGCCGATCGATGTTTACGAAAGAACCTATGTGGAGGAGCACCACGGCTTACAAGTTCCTAAAGATAGACCCCGGTAATCCAAAAGATCGCCCAAGTTCCTCCAAGATCTCCGGGTCGTGATGCTAAAGCCTTGAAGGGGCAGATGCGCTCAACATGCTGTGAGTTTCGCATCTGGTTACTTTGGAGGCTGTGGACCATGCAACAGAGACTCCCAGAGCAACCTTGCAAAACTGGCCTTTGGCCCTCGTTCCCCCTAAGCACTTCCATTTACGAAGCTCCGATAGGGCCCTGGGACGCCCACGAGTGCCCTCCCTTCCACTAGGGATGAGGATCCCTCCAAGCCCCACACACCCCAAAGAAGCTCTTTGGTTGCTCAGTTGAGACTCGTGCTGCGGCCGGACAAAAGCTGCAGACAGGCCCGGCCCTCAACGTGTCCAACGAGCCCAAGAAACCCCCCCCCTGAATTACAAGAAGGGACCATGTGAAGATCCAGAAGCCCAAAGCAACAGCCTCATTTCGGTCTTTAAGCGTTTGCAGCCTGAATGGCAATTGCCGGCATGGTGGGGGACACATGATAAGAATTGCCATCTTTGTTTCTCATGATGGAAGATGGACAAGAGCTTCCTTCCCTCTTACAAAATTTGCCCTTCAGCTACTCTTTGGAGTTTTTGAAGCCTGGCATCCTCGCAGTTTTCTTGCTCCAGAGAAGCAGGGAAGCTTGGGACTTCGGCTTGGGGGAGTTCAAGCCCCGTGGCTTCAATGCTACCTCCGAAATCGACATTAACTGCTTCGGTTGCGTCCGTAGTCCATAGTAGTGCAGGCCCTGCACATGGCAGCCACCTCATGCTGTGATGCCGTAGAAAAACATGCTGCAGTGGTTTTTGCTTGGCACGAGACGAACCTACAAACCCTCCCCCTCGTTGGACCTAGCCATATCCCGGATGCCCACACATGCCAAAAAAAGCTGGGAACTACAGAGTTCGCTGTGAAAAAGTGAAGGAGCGCGAGCAGCTCTCCTACCCCAGTGTCCTGGCTATGGTCTTCCTCTCCCTGCGCAGAAGCGGAGCCGCTCGGTGATGCTTTGGCACCAGACTCTACCCACATCCCGGCAAGAATTGAAGTTGTGGGGCCTCTCGGGTTTGAGGCGGTGAGGCAGAGCCCCTTTGGCATGGTAATGCCTCCAGAAATGCCATCAACCTGAGACAGAACTTCCGCAACCAATCTGTTTGAAAGCCGTGCCTACTCGGTATCTTCGCTGGCTGCTGATTCTTCTACGTAGTATTTTTCAAAGTTGCCTCACGCAACTGGCCTGCTCGCGTCTTCTCCCCAACGAACGTGTGCCATTGCCGAGGCATCATCATCGAGCATGTGGAAGCCGTTCGTCGCGGCGCGGCTGCAGGGAGAGAACTCCTTGACAAAGAGAGCCCCGCGTCCTGAAAAATCTAAGTGGGTGTGTCGTGCTGTTGCAGTCGAGGAACACATGGCGGAGTACTTCCGCTGATCTGTCATCCTTGAATTGTTTAATGCACGCAGGTAGGCCCCCTGGCAATGGCTAGACGCTGAGCGTCAGGAATGTCAGACGGTATGCGAACCTTGCATATGGTCCCTGGCAAGCGCATGACATCATGACCAAGGGGCCTGCTTGAGGCTAGATGGCTGCAAGATGTTGCAAGGTTTTCTGGTTGCAGGCTGCAAGAATCTGAAGTATGGTGCATCCTCTCGAATCGATGAGCTACGCGTGATGGGGGGGCAGCTTAAGCCTCAATGTTGGAAAACCTTGGACATGTGAGCCCCAAGTGCCACAGCGCCGCTGGCAATGCTCCCGCGGTCAGCTGTCCCAGAAAGCAGCAGGCCGCTTAGATCCGGTACCTCAGGGCTTTGTGAGAACAAGGTCGGCTTCAGGCAGGGCCCGCCCCAGAGCAACTCAGAATCAGGCCCCATGACCGCTCAATGGAGAAATGCCCAGGTCCTGAGTGCTGAGACGCTTGCTTTTCCAAATTGCTTAGCCGCCGAGAAAAAAAAACTGGGCTTCGGAACTCTACACCCCTACATCACATGATACAGTGTGGAAGCACATGTAGTAAAGGAGTTCCCTTACATTTGAAATTGCGACCTTGTAGCTTACTCTAGACGGCGTGAGACGTTTGAAGACGCAACCGTTCGCAGGTGTCAAGAGCACAAGGGAAGCATCAGAGCAAACACCCCTAAAAAGCGTGTGTTCTCGTCTGAGGGCAGCGTGGAGAGATCTGGTGGCAGAGCGCCGCCGGGTCGGGGGCACCAGCTGCGTGGAAGGGTCTCTGCACAGCGGTGTTGTGCCACAATGGGTGGCTGGGTTGCGAGTTCTTCACATAGAGTTGCATGAGGCTTCTGGATGTAAGGTAGTTGCTGATGGTTGAAGCATCGCCCTCTCCATTGGACCATACATAGTCCCAGCCCGAAAGATGCTCAGAGCTTGAAAAACCGACGACCTCAAGTCTTCAGATCACAAAGCCCCCTAAAAACTCCGCACAAGTGTTCACAATCCGAGCCGACCGCAAGATGCAGAAAAAGATGCACAGGATGAGGCCATGGACATCTCCCGGCGCCTGGCCGAGGAGGAGGTGCGCAAGGCCCAGCGCGAGGCGCGCCGGCGCACTGGAGGCCTTCAGGTTCCCTCAGTTTGAAGGGTTCAATGGGCTGACCGTTTCAAGGTCCCAAAAGGCCGGTCTAGGACCGCGAGGATGCTGCTCGCAAGCATTTCTGGAGGTGTTTCTGACTACCGGTACCAAAAAAAGGCTTTTGGCACCAGGGGGCTTCGGGGCCAGAAGCTTCTGGGTTTTTTTTATGTTGGGGCCTGTATCTCGGTGCTGAAGTGTTTGAAGAGAGGCGTGGAGTCAAGCTTCGAAGTCAGACCCATTGTTTTCGGTCCACTTCTGCGAATAGAATGCACAGCCAACACGAGCATTTCAATGATTATGTATTATATACTCGTATCATAGTATATGTCACATGTTATATATTAGATGTTGTAGGTTATCTGTCATATGTCATCTGTTGTATTTTCTACATTGTACATCATATATGTATACCACGAGACTCTTTGCTGCAAGTCTGCAAGGCCGAGATGCTGGCACAGGAGGCTGAGTCTCAGGGCTTCGCGAAAGAATCGCAACATGTACTCACAGCAAGGTGTGACAGGAATGCCAACTAAGGGCGTTAACCAACAGTTGCGCAAGATCTGTGTTGAGGGATGGCCCGACAGGCTGCGAAGATGAGGGAAAGTCATCTACAGACGCAGCAGCAACGGCAGGCAGCTGATGCAACTGCGCTGCGCATCGGCTTTCAGGGTTGAGGAGGGCTTGGGGATTCGGCCGAGGACTTGGGCTAGTTTAAAGGCGGTCCTTACCAGGCCTCCCTTCTTCCGGTTTTTTTGTGAAATGCTTGCCAGAACTACCTTCCGCAGGGCCAAGCCGGAGCGGGGATACCTGGGTCTTTCCTGGAGCACATGTCTTTTGAGTGCATCTTGCCCATGCACCACTTTTGCTCGTGCCGTGCGTTGCATCCGCGGGCTTGCCTGTTCGTTTCTGGCGTTCTTTCACAAATCTTTCTTTGGCTGTCCTTGGTCCTGCTCGCCCATTTTTCAATTCAACCCAGGAAAGGCTTGCACTGCTCTCCGGGGCATCATTTGGGGTGGCGGCTCGAGTGTGGCTTCCTTTGCAGCACTTGGTGCTTGATGCTGCATTGGAAGTCAATAGCAGAACTTCATCTGACTTCCTTTGGCACACCAGAGCCAGAAAGTAGCATGCGCCGACTCCATGCCTACCATGCCTACTATGAAAACCTTGACGGCTGCAGAGGCGCACGAACAGAAACAAAAAAGGAAACCGAATGCTCCGGAGGCCGTGTTTCTTTGGTCCATTGAGCATCGTGACCAGACTATGCTGCTTGGGGCCGGCAGCTCAGGAAGGAGACAACCCCCAAATTGACGCTTTGGAAGGTTTTGCAGAGAACTTAGACGATCCGGCGTCAAGCCATGGGCACCCTCAGCTGCAAAAGCACGAGCCTCCCAAGAAATTCTTGCCCCAGACGACTTTACAACACCGAAACATCGCGAAAACAATGCGCACCAGGTGGCCTGGAGCGCATGGCGTCACTTGCCTCAGCTGGCTCCCATTCCAGAGGTTTCATGAAATTTCTCCACATCGGAGCTTCAACCCTCTGCTGCTTTTGGTTCCAGGCGAGTGCGTGGAAGATCGGAAGCGGACAGACACTCGGCTTAGATCCGAGCTGCTTTGATCAAGGTGTTGACTTGGCCAGCTGATGGTCAGATTCTGCCAAGAAGCATTGAAAACTTGAGACGGCCGATATTGATCTAAGGAGGTGGAACACGTGCAGACCTTGAAGAAGAGGTGCATCAACATGAGGGTCGGGTGAAGGGTGAAGCTGTTAGCGCTCAAGGCTTTTGGGGCTTTGCATTGGGCTTCAGGACACCGGTTGCAGCTCGGAGGCATACAAAACACACACACACACACACACACACACAGCAAGCAAACACATGTAACATCACACATATCTTTCTTGCATTGTATGAAGACATGACACTGGGGCATCTGCGCATTTTGTCAGCGACGATGCCTTGCAGGCTCCACGGGACTGACGTCGCGGCGAATATCGCTGCAGTGGCGTCGGAATCCACGGACGGACCAAAGGATCCAGGCACCTGTTTCTAAGCGCTTTTTCCCCGGCACACGTACAAGAACAGACCTTGCACATCCGAAAGAACTGCATGTAGTGCGGTTTCGATTCAATTCTTGTCCATACAGGCAAGGCGGCCACCGCAGGTGCACAGCAAGCTTGTTTTGTGAGATGCGCAGGGCGAACATCTTCCGCACTGATGGGTGAGTATGAAGTCTTAACGCTGCCGCTCACCTTGCTTTGAGCGTACAACGCAGCTTGTTTTGCAGTCCCGATGCCTTTTGGGGCTGCTTCCAGGCCCAGCAGCAGTGGTGGCAACAAAGCACGGCTGCTGCACCCGCCACGAACCCAGCATGTCCGGTTCTGTCCCGCTATGGAGTCAGGACTTTCAAGCCTCCCTCCAGGTTTCTTTCGCTTCTTCGTTGCGCCCAAGCCACCACCGAAGCAAGGCCAGGCTCGCGGCGCTGGAGATGCTATTCGAATTTGCACTGCTTCTTGAGCCCAGGAAGCTTCCGCCGTGCCGAATATCATATGTGAAACGAAGTCAAAGTATGCAGTTTTAGCATTCAACACACCCAGCGAAATCGTTTCCACGCCACATCAGGCCGGCCAGTTTGGACGCCGACCTCAGCGGCCATGGGCTCAGAGGATGGGCTGAGTCCGAAGTGGGGGTTTATGATAACAATGGACGGCTAATATACATCCCCAATAGTTGGATCCCCTTACAGTAAGGGCCACAAGAAGGTACCCTTAATATCGTAAACCCCCAAGTGGTGAAGTGGCGAGAGTGCACCAATGCCGGAATGTTTGGGACTAAGAGTGGGTTGAATCCTACATCAGGTTCCACATTCAGACCTGCACGCCCACAGTCGCTCACCCCAAAACCCACATGCTTTTGATTTTAAGTCTAAGTTGCTGCATGAAGTGCTGCACCCCTGTCCACTCTTTGCCTGCTCTTCTAAGCTCCTTCATGAGTTCTTCGTGCGTCCAGGCCAAACCAGCAGCCGCTCCTGCCGCTCCTGCCCAGGTTGGCCGGAGATTGGTAGGATTCAGGATGGTAGGGTTTTTACAGAAAGTGCAAGTGAGACCTGAAACTATCACCATGTCAACAACTTCTTGACTGCAACCTTGAAAGCATCCCCAACTCCCGGTGCCAAGGCCAGCTCTCCTGCTGCAGCGCCGCCGGAGAGGTTCCATTTTTTTGCCTTAGTGTCCAACTGCACCCAGATCTAGCAACTCACCACCAATGCCCCCCACTCTCCCAAAAACCTGCAAATCGTTTTCACGACCACTTGCGACTGAAGCTTTAGGCTTACAGCTTTGGATCGGACCACAGCTCGGAGGAGAGCAATCCACCTCATCCAACCATCAACCTCGCAAGCTTTGTGCCTTCGAAGTGCGAAACCTCTTGAATATCGGTCAGCAGCCAGATCTTCACAAGCTTGATGCAAGGCGCGCCACCCCGCCGACGGTTACGCAAGATGCGGCCGCAAGCGGCGCAGGTGTTGCACGGGCTTCGCAGTTTCGGCATGTAGACGCTGATGTTAGGTTTTTCGGGTAGATGTTGAGTCCATGATGAAGGAGCTTCCTCCGCCTTGAGTAGCCAAGTTAGTCAGGAGCAGCATCCTCTTCTGCGGCGCTGCCTCCAGCAGCAGATCCAGGCACGGGATGTGAACATGGCAGATCGACATTGGATCGCAATGCACACGTCGTGCAGCCTTCTGCAGTGTTTGCAAAGTGTCCGAGAAAATTATTCCGTTTTGTGTTGCCGTACATGAAGGATGTTGTGCCTCAACCCTAAACCCTAAGCTTCAGAAGTCGCACCAGACCTTGACAGGGCAGAGCGCTGGCCCGGAGACGCTGCCCTCAGCGCTGCCAGCTGGAGAGTTCATCTCGGCAGGCACAGAACCCAAGACGCTCGACCAGACTCAAGAGTCTCAAGAGCCTCATGCATTTTGGCCTTTCATGGGACTGTCCTTCAGGTCATGAAAATTCAAAGGCTCAACATGAAGCAACTAGAAGAAGGAAAGTCTCTGGGCCAGCGGTTTTTGTCTAAAGCAACTTGATCATTCCAAGAACAACGGCTTCTTTTGCAGGCGACGCGATTGATGAGCCAGCACCGTCTGCCGGAGGGAATCTGAGGCCAGAGGAAGGAAGCGTGGACTTCTCAAACCCTGAGAGATCATAATGTCAAGTTTTGCAACGAAATCTCGAAACTTCTTCGTCACCAGCTCCGCTTGCCAGGCGTTTCGAAGTTGAACCAGAAGCACCTGGCGTGGGGTTCTCGAATTTGCGCCGCCAGCAAGCCGAGACGGATGTAAGCAGAAACGTTCGAAATCGACGTGTCTTGTTGGTCACTGAGGATGTCTTGCTCTTGTTGGGTCGTAATTGTTGCACTTTGACACGTTGTCCGAAATGCGGGCATTCAGCCATTGCTTCCAGAAATACATGCTTTTCTGACAGAGGCCACGCCGTTGCCACCTTGATTTGTACCTCGGCTGCCTTCAAGTCACACTTGTCCCGACTACTCTGCATTGGATTCATTGGATTTAGGTTTTTCATCCAGGGTAAAGTGTGCGCACGGAAGTCAGACGATGTGAGTGTCACGCAGGAGTCACCGAACCCAAATCTCAAGATTCTTGTGCTTCAAGAAGGGTTAGGTGGCACGTGCCCCCTGAAGCCTGGACACTCTTGTTGTTTTGCAACCAAGGTTGGGCCCCGCTGAGCAGAATTCGAGGCATCAAGCTTTTGAACTTAGTCTGCTTACTGTTTCAGCGTAGCATGATGTGGTATGATTTTTCGAAACTACCTAAAGATGAGGGCTTCTTTGCATTCCCCAAGCAAACCACGTCCTCAGCTGAACCGAGGTTCAATGCAAAACCTCGCGAGCTTAGCTTGCATTTGTTATCTCACACTTATTGTAAATGTGACAAGCTCCTGTGGCCAAAATGTCTCCGGTTTGTGTTCTGCTCGATTGCGAGTCGCAAGGGGGATATGGCTCCAAACCCTGCCGAGTCCCTGCCGAGTCGCAAGGGTGATTAGGGAAGGGTGTCTTTAGAGCTCCAAACCCTGCCGAGTCTCAACAGTCCGGTGCAGGAGACTTCTGCTCCCAAAGGCACCAATTAAGAAACGGAATGTGAAACCTTTCTTACATCTACAGAATGGGCAAATAAGTTATAACGACCGGTGTTTTTCGAATTATTATCTATAAGGTTGAACTAGAAATAACCGCCAAAAAAAATATAAGAACGAATCATACCAAATTCGAATTGGCTAATAAAAACCGCCATACGATAAAGAAAAATCTTCAAAACTCGAAAGAATACATAGATCAGAAATGAATAAGATAATAAGACCCGATAATACGATTTCTTACATTTCGTTAAATAAAACCACCCAGACTTCGAATTGATACCGAGAAAATGAACAAGTAATAGTCGCTAAAACCCACGAATATAATGTCTAGATCAGAAGAATTATCAAAATATCACTATCCAAAAATACGATTTGTTGTGGACTAGAATGGGACCAGAAAAATGTACGGGAACGACTAAGATAGGATTAGGAATAGATTTTTGTAATTGAAAAAATAGAAGAATCCAATCCACCTAAGACCCGAGAATACGGATCATGATTGTGAAGAAAAAATTATATTCAGTCAGTAATTCCCGGAATTCAATCGGGCGCTACTAAATCTATGATGAAAGGATGAATCTCGGTTGGTGTCTGATGGGAGATCTCTTTCATGTTGGGATGCAAAAAAGAACCGAATTTTGTCAGCAAACAGTTGAAAGAAGTACAAGAACATTTTATCATCTTAAACACAAAATTGACGAAACTCCTGGTTGCCCAGGATTTCAGTCATGCTGAGAAGAAGGACGTGTACTTAAATCACTACAGTTAATACTGTTCTTTGGAAATGCTGCACCAAAAAACAGCATTTAACAAGCGAAAATAGTTTTTCCTTGAACACAAACTTGCTGGTTCTCCCCGCATTTCTGAAAAGTGTACCTGTTGACCGCATAATGTATTTTGTCTACAATTCTCACCCAGTTACCTTTCAAAGAATGGCTGCAAGAACCAGTACTGAAAGAAGCAAATGAATGTCACAAAATTGAATAAAACGCTAGTTTTCCCAGCATTTGAGCGTGTTGACTGCAGTGTTTATTTAGTGTGAGTTTATTTAGTGCGCGTTTCTGGGTGTTGAGTGAGTGCTGATTGTACAAAGATGTTTGGTAAAGCTCACAGCCAAACGACCCTGTCATACAAAGCTACATCCTCGCAGCAAGCAAAATGTATGGAATATACAGCAAGAAAGATGTGTGACAAGTGCGTATACGGTGCCTTTTTCACCCGCAGAAATGCCGCAAAAGCGAATTCTTGTCTGCAAACAATTGAAAGAAATACAAGGAGTCAGTCCCTTGGTTTAGAAGTACCCATGAAACAGGGTTTCTCGAGCTTCAGGATATGCAGATACCAGCTATGCGACGACCAGGTATTGTTGCACCATGACAATCAGCTTGTCACCCCGAAACCCAAAGCTCCACCTTGGAGTTCAGTTCGGGTTCAGCCCAGATGCCAATCCGTGGGGCAGTAGAAGAAGGGAGCTCGATTTTAGGGTCTTTCAGGCTTCGTGCGTTAGGTCTTCGGTAAATAGATTTCACATTTCAGTTGGTCGAAGGTGTTTGCTCGATTGATTGCAGCCGCATGAGTTGCAGAGATGACGACTGATTGATCCCTGGAAGGGACTTCGGGTTTCATGTGGTGGTGTGGGCTGCTTGGGGATCGGGTTCTGCTTGAGGAGGAGCTCACTTTCGCTGCAGCTGCTTTTCTCATGCAGCTGGTTGATTTCACGCCCTCCTCACGTTCCTTCCTAAAGAACTACACCTCATGGAGCCCCGCCATTCCATCGCCATAGTCGTGACCGGGGCGCTGAGCTGCTTGCTGACTGGTGGGCTGGCCTTTGGCTTCTCGGCCTTGATTCCGAGCTTGGAAAGTGCCGGGGTATTCGCCGAGGATTGCCATGAGAAGGTTCCTTGTCGTGCCCAGCACATGCACATGATCTGGGTCTTCACTGCGGGAAGTGCCGCCTCTGCGTTGTCCACATTGCCGCAAGGCATCTTGATGGATTTCTTGGGGCCCAGATTCTGCGGATTGACTTTTGGTACCGCAGTGGCTCTCGGCTGCGCCCTGTTCTCTCTAGGTGGGCTATGGTCCTTTGCGTACACCATAGGCTTTGTGCTGCTAGCTGTGGGCGGCTCGGGCGTCTACATTGGCGTGCTGGGTTTTGGAAACCTCTTCCCGAACAACGCTGGCTTGGTCGCCGCCATCTTCGTGGGCTGCTTCGATGCCTCCGTGGTCATCTTTCGGGTCCTCGCCTTCCTCATGTCTCTGGGCGTACCTGTTTTAACCATCTTCCAGGCGTATGCTCTCCTCTCAGCTTCCCTTGCCGCAGCAGCTGGTCTTCTCTGGCCTACCGCATCTGTGGATGGCCGCCAGAACCATCAGAGACGCGAAGAATCAGGAGGCGATGGCTTCTGGAGCAAGATTCGAAGCTTGGACTTTGCTCTCTTCGCCTATACTGTGACCGTGGACGTAGTCTGTGTGAATTTCTTCTTGGTGACAGTGTATCCGAGACTGCGGTCAGTCGTGACTGCAAACGAAGCGAAAATGCTGAATTCATCTTTTGCAGTACTTCTGCCCGCAGGAGCAGCATTGGTCTCGTTGTGGGATTCGGGCTTTTCCTTGCGGCTCCTGCCATTGGTTTTTGAGAAGACTTGAGCGAACTGTGGGAGCCACTGTTCAAGCCCTGCAGGAGCCATCCCTTTTGTCCCGTTGATCGGCTTCTTGATTGGCAAGCTGGGATCGACCGCCGCCCACCTCGCCCTGAACGGTGCCCTCACATTGCTGGTTTTTGAAGGGTCTGCTTTTTCAGCTTGTTGACATATGTTGTGATGCAAAAGCAGACTGCTGCTTAGAAGGAAGGGGTACGGTTGCAAAGGCCTGTTGCAAGTAGGGCTTGTCTTTATTTGCGGCTTGCGTGACCTTGCCAGAATGATGCACTGCCCTGGCGTTCCGGAGAGCGGCAGTTCACAATACATACGGCACTTGTTGCAGCAGAATCTTCGTGCTCTCCACATCTTTCTGCCTTGATTTTTTTTGCCCTTTCGCCCTTGCGCCACTAATGAATACTCGGACGTCGTGTCCCTCTTTGGAGAGGTGCCTATTTCATCCTCGTGAACATGCTTGTGCGTCCCGGCTTGCCTAGTGACACTCTCTCAGTTCATTCTTGTAGTTCACAGTTGCATTCGAGTTTTAGGGTCAAAGTTTAGGGTTGAGTTGAGTCTTTTCACACCAGCCCATGGGCATCCAAATAGTACCCCATGTATGCCGCCGCCCAGGGCATTTCATTTTCAGATGCCAGGGGGCAGCATCTATATTTGGCTCGCATTTGTGCTCTTCGCGCTCTGCCGACCTTTCGTCTACTCATTGGCGAATACTCTCTGCGGAGCCGGGCTTGTGGAACTGTTGCGGTTTCGGGCTTAAATTTGCGAAATTGAGGATGCAACAGGCACAGGCTGTAAGTATTCCCTCTACACAACGATTGCCGAGCGAGAAGTTGAGATAGGAAGGAACGGATTCAATCAGCTTGAACTCGTTCTTCCGCCTGCAGGAGAGATTTTCGGCTACCACTGCTTCGGCAAGATTTACGGTCTGGTAATGTCTCTTGTCGGATCGAAAAGTACTTGAAGGTTCACATTGCTGGGCGCCCATTTTTTTTGCGTTTGGCTTTGTTTCGAGAGCGTCCGCTTCTGCAATGCAGACCGGACCAACCCACAATCCGATCTCAAGCCCTGAGCAAGAAGCCAAAGTCCAAACCACAAAAGTCCGTCTTCTTGGCGTGTCCCTTGAAGCGGGGAATCTTAGAAGAAAACTTCCATGAAGTAAAACTCTCCCCGAAAGGACTTTGGCGGGCTTATGCAGCCTTCTAGTGAAGCCCTTGGCGGGCATCGCCCTGGCGCACGGCTATTTGACAGTAGACTGCGGACTTCTCATCCTGCAGGCCGATTGTTTGGGTTGTTTAGTGCAAAGCTTCGGGTGTAAAAAATGTTACAACTGCAAGAAGCTTTTGGGGTTTTGGTCATTATGTTCACTCAATGTGGGGCGACTGGAAGATGGCATTCGTATCAACACCCCTAAACCATCCTCAAAAATGATGATGCAGGCA